ACTCACAATCCTCCTGCTTCAACCTCCTGAGTGTGTGCTACCATGATTGCTAAGCTTGATCATTAAAAGGCAAAGATTTCTGTTCAGTAAAGGGTGTCATATACAAAGTTAAGACAGGGGATGGATAAAAATATGACATCTAAACTGACAAGAGAGCATCTACAATGAAGACAAAAAGTACATTTGAAAAGCAGGCAAAGATGAACAAGTAATTCCCAGAAAGGGAGATTAGCTAGAGCTTTTTTTAAAAAAACTTTTTCTGTGGTAGTAAGAACTTCAAGACAAACTAGGTACCTACCTCAGGAAATGAGCACTTTACAGTAGGATACACTTAGGAAGGGTGACACAACAGATCGCATCAGCACACAAGCACACAGAATAATGCAGATAACTCAATACGAAAAGGCAGGGGACATTTGTAAGAGTACCAATTGAATATATTAAATCTCTGTGTATGCAAAGTAATGCTACTTACCAGGATGCATATCTAAGGGAACATATCAGAAAAAGAAATAGGTGCTTATAAGATGGGGCAGTATAGGGTGAGGGACTAAAGGATGGACAGAGGGACACACTGTATGATCAGAGACGGGAACTGACATGTTAGAAGCCATACACGCTCACATATAGCTTGGAACTGCAGTAGCAAATAGGCTATAAAGCAAGAGCCTGAGGCCAGCAGCAGGTAGGCTACCTGTGAAGAGACCTTTAGTGACCACTACATAAAACATCACCGGAACCAGGGTAACATTTGAAAGACTACTGGGTATACAAGATTTCTCTTACTTTGTAAGTCAGCAGTTTCTGACACCTGTGATGAAAGCATTTTAGTTGGGTTTTATCCATATCTGTATGCTAAGCAGTGATCACAGCAGATTTCCACAAAGCTGTTTTGTTTCACTGTTTTGGAAAAATGGGAAAATGAAGAGGAAGCATGCACTGAGAAATAAATGAAAGAATGGCTGTAGTAGTTGCCATTTACTAGTATGGCACTCTGCTAGGCAATGCCTATATGTCTCTAATCCAACTACTCTCAGTTGGGAAAGATGGGCAAGGAAAATGCATTTTAAGTGAGTTTCATAGTGGAGCCACGTGAACCCAAGTCTGTCTGATGACAACTTACTCTCCTTCATAGTATGCTACCCTACTAGTAAAACAATAGTAGAGAGACAGTGAGGGGCCACACACCAGGACACAGGCGGTAAATACACACAGAAAAGGAACATCCACAAACACATGTCGATATATAGGTTTCTGAGATGGTAAGACGAACTAGTATCTATCTGGAGATGAGGCGACTGTCATCCTTTGAAAAGCACAGGATCTCTCCTACAGTGGGACAGCACTCTTGTTCTGATAGGATCTCACGTATCCCTGATTGATCTCAAACTCTTGATGTAGCTGAGGATGATCTGAGCTCCTATCCATCTCCCAAGAGGTGAGATTACAAGCATGTAGTGGCATGCTCAACTTTTGGTCCTTTTTAGTAATGCTATAAAGTGTTAGTCAATATTATGTTAGACAGCATTCCTATACGGTTACTGTAATGCTAGAGATACACTTGGACCCAAACCTCTACACATTCTACAAATCCCACCCCTGGGATTTGTAAAAGCAAAGTATGTTCATCAATAATTTGTTAAATCTTGGCTTGAAATTCCATCTAGCCCCATCCTACATCACTCTTTTTTTTTTTTTTTTTTCTCCATGGTGAAGAACAAAACCTGCTTCCTTTTTAACATTTTTTTCTTTCTTTCCTTTTCTTAATTTTGAGACAGGGTCATACTACCTAGCCCACATAGACCATGGCAGCCCCTCATTCAGCCTCTTTAACAAATACCCTGCTGGCATTAAAGGGTCTACCCTGCCACACTCCAGTAACACTTCCTTCTATACATCTGATCCTCAATTATACATGCCAGAATCAGTCTTACCCTTTTATTTCTTGAGTCTTTGAACTATTACCTTATTTTGAAACCCTTTAACTGCTTGGATGACCATTCTTCAAGTAACTTTTCTGAGTTCCATTTCCATATACAGAATAAGTGATAACATGATTATGCCAGCAATATCGACATACAGCTGTAACCTAGCATTTAGGAGTTTGAGGGTAGGAGGATTACAAGTTCAAGGCTAGCACAGGTAACAAAGAGAAACCCTGTCTCAAAAACTGTAGTATATGTCATTAATAGTAAAGCTATGCTTATTTGCTGCTTTGTGTAAAATAGTGTGTCAAACCAAGAATGGATTTTTTTTAAAAGTACATTTAGAGAAAGGAGAGAGACAGAGACAGACACCGACACCGACACCGACACACACACACACACAGAGAGAGAGAGAGAGGAGAGAGAGAGCATGAACTTGTAACAGACAGAGGGTAACTTCTGGGAGTTGGTTCTCCTTCCACCACGTGGGCCAAGGATCAAACTCAGGGTATTAGGCTTGACAGGCTACTAGGCTTTGCTTACTGAGCCATCTTGCTGGTCCAATAACAGATCTTTTAACTACTCTGGCCAATAACAAGGGCATCGTTAGGAGCCTGGAGAGATAGCTCAGGGCTTAAGAGCACAGTCTGCTCTACTTCCAGAGGACCCAAATTCAGTTCCTTACACTCATACCAGCTGGTTCACAACTGCCTATAACTTCACTTACAGGGGACAACTCTCTTTTGGCCTTTACGGGCACTCACATACACACTAATGTATATCCATATGACACACACATTTACATGTAAGTAAAAATCAAAATAAATCCCGAAAAAATAAAATGGTGCCTTTAATACTGACAAAAGGCTGACATCATTAATTAAATCAGATTATTTAACTCAGGGGTTGTGAAGTTTTTGGGAGGTGTTAAGAAGTGCTTTCAAGCCAGGCATGGTGGCGCATGCTTGTGATTCCAGCACTCAGGAGGCAGAGGTAGATGGATCTCTGAGTTCGAGGACAGCCTAGTCTACAAAGTGAGTTCAGGACTACACAGAGAAACCCTGTCTGGAAAAAAAAGAGAAAAATACCTTAAGGGCCAGTAAAAATAACAAGTAAGAACACAGACACACATCTTTAATTAGTAGTTCAAGGTCACTGACCCCGTATGTCCTTTTTATCTTCAAGACAACACTGAAACCACACAATGTAAAAGGAAAATAAGTAAATAAATAAGAACAAGCATTCAAAGCACCCTTCATTTTTTTTTGGGGGGGGGTCTATGTCCTTGTCTGTATTTCCTATGCATAAATATGTATCATCGACACCCACACGCCGCTGCCTACGGGAAGGATCAAGTGAGCCTGCACTGGCACTATCCGCCTTCCTCAGCCACTCCAGCACACACATCCCAGCATACCCCCTTGTCACTGCTTCCTGACTGTTAGTTCCCGACCTCTCCTTGGAAGTCTACCTCTAGCTTTTCCTGCTCCTCGGAGCCTTTCTGTGCTGGTGGCAAGTCAAAGGAACACATTTTTTTTTTTAAATATACATACAGTTTGAATGATTCATTTTGTACATTGTCAAGTGATTGTAAGCTGTTTAAAACAAAGTGAGTGGGCTGTGCCCTTTCTTTTATTATTATACTGGGCCTAGGTACAGTGTAATACAGCTAAGTCTCTCAACCCCTGCTGACAGCGGAACATGTTAACCCAATAACACAAGAGACACGAGAGTAATATTTACATTCCTCTTTATTTAATACAACAAACATATACAAGAAAAAAAAAAACCCACTCATGTATAAGGTCCTGTCATGGTAGACAGGACACAGCTATACTTAATCAAATAAGGCTCTCATTTCAAAATGGGTTTGCTAGCTCCACCTGGAATATGAACAAGGCTGTTGCAAAGTAAAATGAACAAAAATCCTTGCACTGAAGGAGTGTATCTTGGGGCCAGTTTAATAAGTTCACAGATGCATGTTTAGGAATGTTTATGCTCTCATATATCCAAAACTTATCAGAGGTCTTATGAAATGTGAGGTTCTTTTGTTGTTAACTCTAAAACTAGGAATCACCAAAGTGTGGAAGCTTTAGTGCTAGAGTTCAAAGGATACTGTAACTAGATCATGAATGCAAAGGCAATATGGCTGTGGGAGAGGGGCTTAGTCCCTAATATACTTCCCATTTGCTAGTACTACGTGGACCACTGGAAAAGCAGAACAAAGAACCTCCTTCTAGCTCAGTGCAGGGTCAATAGCAGCAGCCTGTCCATATTCCTGCTGAGCTGAACTCGAAATTCAACAAGCACCAGTTTGTCTCAAAAGAGCCTTATACACACACACACACACACACACACACACACACACACACACACAAACATCATCACCACCCCCTTTTATTAAATTTATTTATTTATTGTTTACTAAAATAATACAAAAAGGGGAGACAGGTATATTTACAAAACTCCATGGCTGGTACAGTACATAATTTTTAAGACACACTAAATGCTACAATCTTTCAGGTCCTGAGATTATTACAAATACCAACTCAAAGCTTGTGTTCAGGTCCAGTTTTTAGAGGAAAAAAAATATCCCAAAGTATTAAGTCACACATTTATTAGAAATACAGCATATATTCCTTCAAGTTAGCAAAAACGCACCTTCCTACAAGCAGATACAACACAGTAACTGGGGCCTTTACCGCAAAGGACCATCCAGTCCCCAGGCTCCGTTCTTGGAGACTGGCTTGCAAACATGGTGTAGCCTCTGTGTAGCATGGAGGTGACTAAAGGAAGAACTGCTTTCCCGGTAGACGCAGCTTTGTTCTTCCTTCTGCTACTAAACAAAAGTCTCCTCTTATCTACACTTTTACTGTAGGGTTGGAAATATGTGCTTAATCAGACTAAAATTCAGATTTGTTTTCCAGTTATAGCAAATAGGTCTGCAGTTCCATGGTAAGTCTTACAATCATAAATAAACCTTACTCATAAGTAGAGAGAGAAAACACCCATCTCTTAGTCACCTTGGTTAGACTTAAGTTCACTGTTTGGGGCACAAAATTTACCAGCCAGAGATTTTTCTTCCTTTTCTTAAAGTTTGATACCGGTTAACAAGAGAAACTATGGGGACATTCAAATTAACGCACTCTCCTCTAAGAACAGTTTAGCACTCCAATATTTTCTAGAATAAGATAGTTTTCCAATGACAGTTGACAACAGGTCACTGAAAAGCTTGGCTGTCTTCTCTGAGGCTAAATCCACATTAGAGGAAGCTGTGTGGGAGGGAAAGCAACCTTCACAGGGAGAAGGCCCCTGATGATCATATGTCAAAAGGTACATACAATCTATTACGGACGCAGAGATGAAATTTCAAGAAAGCTGACAGAAGTTGACTCAACATTCTAACTATTTAAAACAAATACTCTGTACAATGGACAAAAATATTTTTTCCTTTTTATGTTACTAGCCAAAATTGGGCAAATCCTTGGTAATTTTGCAAGTGAGGAGGAAAAATCTTTCTGACAGGCCATAATGTTTCTGCAAACAGTAGAGGTAAGCAAAAAAAAAAAAAAAAAAAAAAAAAAAAAAAAAAGGAAAGTTTATGATTTTAAGTGCGGAAAATACAATACGGTTGTGAAATTTTAAGCACAGGTTGTCACAGAGACGCACAGTGGCTAGTCTTGGTTGCTGTTGACTCCTAAATGGACTCTGAGGAGAACGAAGCCGCTGACTTTCATGTCATCTCAGGTAAGTAAACTTATCTGTATTTCAACCAGAGCTCTATTTAACAAGCATCTAAAGACCAGACTTAGTATAAAACAGAATACTGCAGCAAAGTTGGGGCAAATAAGAGGTTTCTGAGGGACTTAAAACTGGAACTAAGGATCAATGGTCTGCTGTTCTAGGGGAGGTATGAAAACAGGCAAGGCAAACTGTTATTACCTAACAAAGATCTGTCTCACCTCTGAAGAACCTTGAAAGGTGCTGGGATGACCAGGTCATGTAAAAATGAGATGTTATTGTTATACTGCTGTGTATGAACGTCCAAAAGCTTTGCACATGCTGAGCAAGAGCTCTACCACTGAGCTATACCCTCAACCTAGAAAATCTTTTTTTTTTTTTTTTTTTAAATACAAATAAAAAGAGAAAAAGTTGCAATCATCAGTGATCCCCAAGTTCCGGACTATGTATGGAGCCTTAATTGCACTACAGAGACTTCAAAATGTGTTGCTGCCTTGTTTTCGTAGCAGTGTAAAAAGTCTGAGTACTAACTGCTATGAAATACGCAGGAAATACGCAGGAAAGAGAAATAAGCAGAAACATCACTACACAAAGAGATCACAACTAGCCACTTTAAAGCAAGTAGTATTTTGAGTGTGCATAAGAAGTGTCATTTAAGCATCAGGCTAGTCAAAGGTATTTCCACTAAAGTCTAAAGATAATCTATGCTTGTATCCTCTACTAAGATGTAAGTTATCCCCTGTATCATCTTTGTGTTTGATGGGGACAGATAGCAGAAAGAGGGAGAAGAGGATGTGGAAACAATTTACCTTGTCTCTCTAGCTCTGGCACAGGCATCTTACCCTGTAGTAGAGCAAGAGCTCACACCAAAGGCAAGAATGAAGATGACAGAAAAACAGAAAAACTCATTATTTGATTATTTCAACATTTGAAACTGTTTTCAATCAGAGCCCAAGGCAACTTTCCAGCTCTGTAAACCTGAACACTATTTTAAATTTCTCAGCAGTATACTGGGGTGACTTCATCATAAAATTTCAAACAGGTTCCATAACATTAATGCTAGGTCTGCACAGAAAAAGGATTTTCAGCTAGCTTTTTATGCAAAGTTCACATTTTAGGGCAGACAAATACAGATGATATATCTATTTTAGGCATCTGTTAACCATTCCCAGAGGAAACACACACACTGAACAAAAACTCTAACTCTCATTACTCTGGGTTGAAATCTTAGCATTTGTTACTGAGGAATGGACGTAATGTGGAAAATGAACTATGTGCCTATCTGCATAGCTGGGAGTGAGAGGCCAAGAAAAAAGGCCTTATCTGGAGAAGAGGAAAACAACAACAACAACAACAGAAATCCCCAAAGTGATTTAAACAAAAACAACAACAAATATGAGAAAATCCCCTCAGACTAGAGACTGACCAGGTCTGAGCCATTTCTGGGGTCAGTCCAGATGTTAGGCTGTTCAGGCCTAGTGCTTTTTCCTAACTCACTTGAGCTGGGTAAACTGTTCCTCAACCCTGCACTCTCTTTGCTGAGCCCAAATATGTGCTGTAACTTACACTTAATCATATACACACTCTCTCACACACTATTTAACTCTAACAAAACCACAGCATCCATTTGTTTTTGTTGTTATTGTTTTAAGGAGAAAAATTTTATGTATTACTACTTAGTGTACATGAATGGAAGGTGAGATAAAATGATCCTAATTTCCTCCTGGAAGCTAAGAAAATCATGTTTCCTTCTATCCTGACCATCTTCACCTCTACCCCAGCTAGGAAGTTAATCCTGTCTTCCTTCTCCCGTTTTTCTACAATGTGAGCAGCTGTTGACTCTAACTTGCTCGTGGGCTGAAGAAGCATGAAATACAAAGCTAAAAGTACCCACAGCTGTCCAAGTGTGGGCCCGTCCCACCCTCCAGGGCAAAGATGGATAATCCTCCAGATACAGGAGTAGTATGCAGGGTCTGATTTACTCTTAGAAAGGTAAAAACTTAGTTTTCCATCTCCAAGCAAGTACTACAAGGATAACAGATTCAAAGGTAGAAAGACAAAGGAGGCTGTAATAACCTTTCAGAATCATTTATCAGTAATTCAAACATTATCTAAGTTTACTTTCACAACCTTCACAAACATCATACAAGTAATAACATCATAAAAGCTTTAAAAATCTATTGGTAGTTAAGAAACTTAGTGTCATCCCCCCTTTGATTTAATCTGAAACTAATAATTCTATCACACTACAAATATGGTTTAAATATCAAATATGCATCTAAATTAAAATTCCAGTGATTTTTTTAAACTTAAAGACCATAGGGTGCTCTTTATATCCACTATAAAGAAAACATTTGTTTTTTCAACCTCTGCAGGAAGATAAAATTATAATTATATAGGATGTTCTAGAAAAACAAAATATTTTTGAAACAGTAAAGTCTCTGATATCCCTGGGAGGTAGGTGATTATTATTATACCCAATTTTCTCATGGGTAATCTGAGGCACGAAGGTTAAATGACTTCCCCCTAGATAAAGTAGTTTAGGAATTAACACTCACTACTGATCCTAGTTGCCTGACAACAGTTTTGCTATGAGGAGCCTCTTCGTTTAGCCACAAGTCTCCTTTTCCAATTAAAACTTTACTTAAAATGGGGGGGGGGGTCTTTTGTAGATATATTTGTACCATTTAGAGGATCAGTTCAAATTAGTCTCTTTCAACATGTCACATCTAAACAAAACAAAACAAAACCCAAAAGTCTTAAGATACTGAAAGTTATGTTATTCTGCTCAAAGAGAATATTTAAACAATCATGAAATCAGAGCAAAACCTAATCATCTGGCAAATAAATAGACTGAAAAATTCTCAACTATGTCGCAGATGATATGAGTGTTTCCTCACTATCTAAAAATCTAAGTTTATTGAAGTTTTAAAAGGTACTGAGCTATATAATTTAAAGATTGTTTTTTAGACAAAAACATCTTTTAATATTGATACGGTGCCAACTTCCTTCCAAGTGTATTTAGATACCACCCATGGTTCCAGCTCTAGCCTACACGGACTGAATCTTGTCTGCATAGGGCACCATAGCAACTTGACCCACAAGATACTCTTGTTATTCTGATGCTTTCTCATATACTACTTCTGCCTAGTGTGAAGGGTAGAGAGGAGTGGATTACATCCAGAAATAGTCAAGGAGTCCACCGAGTTTATTATGCTTGCAATAACCAACACATGTTTTATATATAATGCCCTATATATATACACACATATATATTAAGTTCTACAGATATTCAGAAGGCGAAGCCAGCATCATGTGCAAAAACTACTTCCCGATCTGCCCATCTGAATCAACTGAAAGCAATGGAATAAACAAGGCAGAAGTTCTGAAATGTCAAAAGGGCAGTGCTTAGAAAGATTGCCATAAAACAGCTATTCCTGGTTTTCAACACACTGTGCATCTCATACTTGTGTCCACACACACAGCAGAAGGAACAGCATTATAACATCACATGATTTTGGCAAGTCTGAGATTCTTTCCCCTGAATCTCCTGACTTAATTAGTCTGTACTAATTAAGGTATCTGTACTAATTAGGGTATCTGAAAAGTTTCAAAAGAGGGGAGAAAATGAAAGAAATAAAAGGCACTTAACAAAGACAAAGGCCTGAATTGAGCATGGTTTAGAGGAGTAATATAAGCATTTTACCAGAGATAAGAAATTATTTACAAAGAGTTAAACTTTTCCCTTAAAATCTTATAAAATAAAATTGCATAACATGTTTGTGATCATTTATCTACTACTGTACTTTTTCTGCTTTGTTTTTACAAAACCAAAAGCACCTCCAAAGCAAACACCAACAAAGAGTCGCACATGCACGCTAGAAGTAAAAGTGCCCTTCAGAGAACATCGGGCCGGCAGGAGCACTTGTGCTAAAGCACAGCGCAGTTCTCAAGTTTGGCCTGGATTATAGATTTTTCTTTCTTCTATTTTCAATTTGAAAAACAAAACAAAATGAAAACCAACAAAGGAAAAAAAATTCAAAACCTAGATAATAACAACAACAATACAAGGACCAGTGTGCTTTTATAGTACACTCCTAAAATAAAGTACCCTAGTTCTATACAGGGGTCAAAGGACATGACAAAATCTCCTACAAATAAAGCAGTTAAAGTCAACCAACACAGGCAAAGTTCATCTTCCAAACGTAGCAGCAAGTAGGACAGACAACGAGTTCTAGAGACGATCCCAAAGGACAGAGTTCTCATAACCAATGGCAGTCACAATAACAGTAGAATTTTCGTTTCAGAAAGTCTTGAACCAAGTAGAGGTGGAAAGGGCTGTGGGAGAGGGCAACCAGAGGAGAGAGAATAGGGGTGCCTACCCTTTCCATCTCTGCATAGTAAACAATTTAGATCTGCTTTGGGAAAAAACATCCTGGGTTAAGATTAGTTTCAATAAGCTGTTTCCAAGCAGGTGTCAAACCCACAGTCTTCATAGAGATATATGCCCGGTTCTTTCCCCAGTGCTGGGATCCAAATAAGCCTTATTCAGTGTCTATGACACAAAACAATATAATTTGGGCTAATAACATCCATCAAAGGGGTGGTGGGCATGAAAGAATGTACTAATTGAATCTTCTTGATTTCTTCAAAGTATCAGGACTTTGTTATTACAGATTAACTTGGCTTCTTTTCCCCAAATCTTTTCTCCAGACTGTTTTGTAATCATGATTTCCCACTCTCTGTTCTCAGAAGCATGAGAATTATAATTTAATTTTAACAGAAATTATTGCTTGCATTTATTTCAGAGGCTCTGAATGAGCTTGACACTTTGCTCCCAAACAGTCTCCAACTGAGGTCCAGCACTGCTGACCGAGGACAGCTGTGTGGACGAGTATTGCTTGTGAATACTGAGGATCACCTTGTGTGCACAGTAACAGCTTATACATAGTGAAGGCAATTTCAAATATAAGACAGTTGGAAACAGACAGCTTAATCTTCCTGAATCAAGCACCCCATGAGTGGGACCTAAGTGTGCTCATTTACTTCTGCATTTGGATGTTGCTAATGTTCTTTAGCGATACACATTGCTCTTTACAGCTATCCTTTCCAGTTACTCACCATTTTAAAAATAACATAATTTAACTTTAAGTGCAAAAATACAGTATGAATCACAAGTCTCTGTTAAAAAATAACCAACTTATATGTTTGTTTAGTAATAAAAACTGTAAAGACAGGTAGCCATATGTATGGACACCGTTTTCAATGTTATGATATAGAAAGAAATGTATTTACATGTAGAAAGGACTTTGATTTGTTTGGATAACATGAAAGGGTTGCTGGAGTGGGGATCTGACAGCAGTCCTTAAGGAATCAAGACTGACAGGAACAGAATATACTTTACATATCATATTCTCAGAGCCCAGGGTAATTTCATAAAATGACATGGGAAATCTTGTTCTTTTCTAATGATGGCAAAGAACCATCAAGGGTCTTCATATAGCACGGTTCAGAATTGACAGATTTAAAAAACTACAATTATTGTTTGACTTTTAATAGCAATTGATTTATATGAATGTGTGTATATGTAAATATACAAACACACAGGTATCAGCAGGAAGAACGACTAATACACACTGACTTCTCCCTGGGTAGAGAAAATGAAGCACAAGGCGGCCTTCCTAAACAGATACCCCAGCAAAGCAACCCAGGTAGTATGAGCAACCATGTGAAAGGAGGTCGCCTGTGCTGGAGTAAGCCAAGAGCTGAGCAAGTTTCTCTAACTAAGAGACCTTTCAAATGAACATGCTAAGTTCAAGTCAAACTTCTTTGCAATGTCCCAGTATCTTCCCAACGTATCTACCGGGGCTCATACAGCATCTGTATTTGTTTTATTGGTAAACTAAATTCCTACAGTCAAGAAATTATACCAATGATTCCTTTCCTTTTTATCCCCCCCTTCTTTTTTGAGACAGGGTCTCATTGTCAGCTCAGTACAGACTAGCCTGGGACTTGCTGCTATATATTCCAGGCTGGCCTCAAACCTGAGATATTCCAGCCTCAGCCTCCTGAGTGCTGGGATTACAAACCAGCATTCCCAGCTTCAATGGTTCTTCTAAACAATCATTTTCCTTTACTGTAACAAGTTCTTGGAACTATAGTTTTCAATTATTCATTGGCTTTTTGCTATGAAACATGCCAATGTGACTTTGAAGTCAAATTATAGGCATAAAAATCTCAGCAGAACTGTGGTTGGTTTTTATAGTCCTAGCGGGTTCTTGGGACTTTTCTTTATCAAAGGAAAATGGGTCTGGTTAACACTCTTATCTGAATAAAACTTAATGGTACTGGGTAATATGTAATAAGAATATGACAGCAATCTTGTTATTACCAGGCTAGTCTGTTTTTGCAGGCTAGTCTATCAGCATATATAAACTAAAGTTACATCACTTAGAGCTTATGCTATTCTTGGATAATTTGAAAATACTCAGAAGTTTAAGATTCAAGGGGTATCGCAATGCAGTTGAGGCAAAATAAAATGTATCCAAAGAGAACTGTATGCTTTCTCCTTCACATCATTCATTGCCTCTATTTGCATACAGAAACTAGAATTAAAGAATCTTATTATCTGTAAATTGACTTGAATTTCAACATTCTGGGTAAATCCGAGTAAAAATTGAAGATTCCAAATGCTCAAAACATTTTTACTGTATCGGATATGGGTCAGAAAGCTTCATTGTGATAGTTATAAAAGGTGATCCCTTGTGCATATCAGTATTCCAACTAAAATTCATCCCTTTAAAAATACGTCAGAATGAAAAACAGTATTCTATTATATACATATATGTGTGTGTGTGTGTGTGTGTGTATATATATATATATATATATATACACATATATATATATACATATACATATATATGCTATTTGTTTGACCCATGAAGAAACAGATGCTGTGCACACTCCTGTTTATATCACCAGCTCTAGTCACCTCAAGTACCACTAGTGAAAGAGCTTGTGCAGTGAGGGAGCTGCAGTTCTTGGCAGGCTGCAAGGGAGATGAGCAGCAAAGCAGCAGCCCAACAACAAAGATCCCACATCTCAAGAGAAAATGTGAGCAGTCACTTCTGCACATCAGGACTAGAAACAAATATTAACCAGCCAATGCCAGATGACAAGTCACCCGCAGACAAGAGATCAGTACCTACTTCTGAACGGAGGGTGGCACCAACCCTTTTACAGAAAGGGGTTACCTATATTTTGTCTGTTAAGAGCAACAAGCTCACTTTCCTGACTTTAAAAATCTAGACGCTATAGTAATATATATCACTGTGCTGCAGCCACTTTGCTGAAGCATCTTCAGTCCACTGACTTGCACAGGAAACTGCTACATACTGGAGAAGATTCAAGTTTGCTCAGGACATTTGAGTATACAGTACTCTTCTGCTACTGTCTGGAGAGCATCATGCAACTGACTGTGGCAAATCTGTCCACTAAACAGACATGACTGATTCTCCTCCAACTGGGCTAATTCTACATTTAGTTACTTTACTTATGCACTTACATATAGAGTGTTCAGATCTGACCCCCAGGATGGATGGATGGCCATTTACCCAAATCCTTTCAACTTCCTTCCTTCTCCCCCAGGTTAAAAAAAAAAAAAAAAAATCAAATTGATACTTCTGTGGGTTTGACAGCTGAGTCTCTTTTAAGTAGGTTAACATGGGAACTTTGATTCTAAGAGACCAAAGGTCACTAACTTTGCACAAAAGTATTTCTTCCTCCTGCACCTGGCTTTGCTCAAGTAACATTTTCTTTCCTTTTCCTCCTCACCACAGTGCTTGGGACGAGAATGTAAACATCGAAAGAAACAGCAGCCCTGTGACCACATAAGACTTCCCATCAGTAGGTCCGGTCAGCCCAGCCAAGTGGTTCCTCTCTCGCTTGCTGGAAAGTCACTGAGGTTTCCGTGGTAACTTAGTGTCCCCTTTATTTTGGCCTCCATCTGAGAAAAAAAAAAACAATAATTTGATATGGTTTGCATATTGTAAGAAAGAAAGAAAAAAGCAAGAAAAATTAGTTTATTGTGAATTACATTTCTAAAAAGATAAGTGTTATCTCACAAGGTGATGGCATTATGGTAGCTGATTAAACAGAAGAGGCAGAAACTCAGTGACTGACAACTATTCCAGCAGGTGTGGAGCATTTATTTTCCTCATAGCCATATCCTGTGCTGGGTTATGGCGGAGCCAGCTTATACAAAGCCCACCTTCAAGGGACCTACTACATCTTTTGATTCCTTTGGAAGACTAGGCCAATTTTATTTTCTTGTAAGTGAAATTAAACATTTTGTCACAATATAGCATGTGATAATTCTGAAGTATTCTGAACACAGCACACTGGCAGTGAAGAAAGTCCAGCTATGTCTTTGTTTAGGTACTAGCCTTGTGGTACAAAAGCAAGTCTGCTGCTGGACAGCTTAGTTTCCACATCTACCAATGCTACTTCCCTTCCCTGTTTACAGAAAATATGTAACCATTCTATGTAATCCTCAGCCAAGTACTTCTAAAAACACTGGTAGAAGAAAAAATGGGGTAAGGAAGACCCAACAACCTAGAGGGTCAATAGAATGTAGTCCCCATGAGTTAGTACTACTAGTGAGGAAAGGGAAGACCCAAAGACAAGCTCTGCCTGAGAGAAGACAACACGGGAAGGAAACTCTTCAAGAGAAGAGGAATGGCATGGCCAGTTCCTCATGTCATATCCAATCCTCTTGAAAACCATTTTAAAAAAATTAAAAAAAGGACTGTCTTGGAGGAAAACCTGTATCAATATCAATGATTATTTCAAAGTTGTATTAACAGTTATACTAAATAAGCAGGGCTTTTTTTCATTCATAGAAAGTTATGTGTACACACACACATACATACTTGTAGAAAGAAATTATTTGATCTATGGTATAACAAAATTATTAAAATGGTAAGGTACTATTAAAACAAGATTTTGTTCAAAGTAACATTGTTTAATTATCAAAATAAAACCATCGTATTAACTGGACTGTGAAATTCTTCATAGCACAGTTTGGTGCAGTATGACCGTGGCCAAGTCTGGCCTACATCTGCTTTTGTTAATATAGTTTTATTGGAAGTCAACTTTACTTGTTTATAAGTCATTTATGGCTATTTTATATTACAATGATAAAGTTGGGCAGTTATAAACAAACAAACAAAAAAACAGGATCGTAGAGACTGCAAAGTCCAAAATGCTTATTATTTGTGCTGCCCAGGTATGGTGGCACACAGCATACAATGAGTTCAAGGAAAGTATGATGTATAAAAAAAGTTGCAGGCCAGCCAAAGTCTATACAGAGAGACCCGTCTCAAAAAACAAACAGGCAGACAAAAACAAAAAAGCCCCCTTTTGACCTGTTTTATACAGGATGTCTATTAAAAACACACTTTCTTCCCCCCGTCAGTGTGGGGTAAAAGAAGTGATACTGAAGCTTTTCAAACTGGTGGTTCTACATTTAAAACCCGAACTCAAGTTTAATGCCTTATATTGTACTTTTTGAGTAAAAAGTTTTAAACTTAAATTTCAGTTATTTGGGAAATACTTGGTATCCCTTTTCTTGTTCTGGGAGAGTGATGTTGGCCAGACAGGAAGTTAGTTCACATAAAACATGAATCATGAAAGTTACAATCACATTAATCATCAAGAGTACATGTCCCCAACTGGATCACACAACAGGAATACATTCAAGTCAAATTAAGTTCGGGAATCAAATGGGGTCCTACTCTCAAGAATGAGTCGTGGGCAGCTGACCACAGAAATGACCACCGGATCAACAATAGCCTATTGCCTCAAGACTGCTGCATAGCTCTGCCCTATGCTCAAAAGGAAGCCAGCTTAAAGACAGTTTAGTTTAGTTTAAATTTTATGTATATGGGTGTTTTGCCTGCATGTATTTATGTACATCATGTGTGCCTGGTGTCCATGGAGGCCAGAAAGGGCAACATGTCCCTTCAAGTTACAGATGATTCTGAGCTGCCATGTTGATGCTGGGAACTGAATTTGGGTTCTCTGTAAGAGCAATAAGTGACTTTAGCTGTTGAGTCCTTTAATATAAACTTTAAAAAAATGTATGTGTACACAATGTGTGCCACAGTGTTATGTGGCAGTGAGAGAAGACTTTGGTGGAGTTGTTCTCTTTACCTCTTTTTGTGGGTTCTGGGGACTTCAGTTAATCATTTTATGAATCCATTTTAGGCAACATGTCTGTATAATAAAATCCTTCAAAATAGTCTTCTGGTGTCTACCAGACCTCATTTATTTATTTTCCTTTCTCTTTTCTTTTTTTTTTTTTAAGGATTTATTTATTTATTATATATATACACAGTGTTCTGCCTGAATGTATGCTTGCATACCAGAAGAGGGCACTAGCCCTCATTATAGATAGTTGTGAGCCACCATGTGGTTGCTGGGAATTGAACTCAGAACCTCTGGAAGAGCAGCCAGTTCTCTTAATTTCTGAGCCATCTCTCCAGCCCCCTTTTCCTTTCTCTTAAAAGTACCTGTCGCCACTGAGGAGCCAGTCAAATGAAAAAAACTTTCCCTAACATTTTGTCATTCCATTTATACGGTTTGAAGAAAGTTTAACCAGCATCTAAAATCAACTATAAACAATGGAAACCAGCAGCTTGCTTACCATTAAATGCTTGCTGTAAATGTGTAGGCAGAGGTGAGTGGGAAAGTGTTGCTGCGTGCTGAGTTCCTGGCTGTAAACTCTTTAGTAAATCTGAGAGGAAAACAGATTTGTCAATGATCTTTAAGATATGAGCCCCTTAGATCAAACTCAAAAATAATGTATCTACCACCAGCCTAAGCCCCAGATCTAAGAGCTTTCTAATACAACAGCACGCATTATTTATAAAAAGTTGACTTATGTAAACAGAGTCATAAGTGTGCTAAGAAATCCGCAAACTTTGGCTTTCTCTTACATACTGCATTATAATTGAAATGCGGCCTAGACGGCTCGTTTGTTTATTTAAAAGAGAGTCCCACTTACTCTGAGTTAGGCTATGATGGAAAGCGGCTGAGGTAGATCCAGAGGTGGTTGTCACGCCAGCTGTGTCCGTTCCAAAGCCAAGTAGCTCCAAGGGAAACTGGAAGGGCATGGTCACTGGAACAAGGCCACCCAGCATCCCAAAGGGAGTCACAGTTTGATTTGTTACAGACAAAGGTGATGTCATGAGAGTCAGAGGTGAGGCATTAGCCAAAAGTGGTGCTCCTGCTGTGGACTGTGTAGAAACCAGGGGTCAAAATAGATTAAGAAATAAAGCATTGAACCTAAATTGATTTAACATTTTCATGGATGCAAGACTGTGCCTTTGTCTGTTCTAACAAATGAGAGAAAGAAATTAAGACTGAGGTGAAAAATAAAATCCAAATAGTTACTAATAATGGTTCTGAAAATCTGCAAATATTTGAAAATTTTTGAATTCACAGCTCTTTCATCAGCACTGTAGTCTGCTTCTTAGCTGTTCAATGCCCACTCTTGCTTGTAAACCTCAAAGTCCCAAACTTACATTTCCCCTTCTCTTCTTCTCCTTCCAAAAACCACAGACACAAATCACTCAGAAATAATTCCAGTCAATTTCACTGGGCCTCTGCAGGCTCACTTTCCCGGCACAAGGCCTAAACTCCTGCCCTCATTCTACCGCTTTCATCACAGCACCTGAAGCAGATGAGGCCCTCCGAAAGCTCCTCATCCTTGGTCTTACCTGTGCTTCCCCAGAGCTGGTAACTGCCCAACTTACACAAAAGCTCTGTGAGCTAGCACTGCATACCTGCCAATAGACACTTTTCTTTCTTTCTCTTTTTCTTTCTACAACTTCATTGTTATTTGTGGATTTTCCCCATCTCTCAGTAACAATATAATATTATTTGTATCCCTTTAAAAAAATAAAACTTACTGAATGACAGCCTATTTTCAACCCTACCTAGTTTCGCTAGCACCGCTGAAGGCTGGTCTCCATTGCACTGCTTTTCTGAAATTAAACTCCTAAGTAGAAGTGTTTTCTTGCTGAGCAGTAATGGTACATGCCTTTAGTCCTAGCACTCATGGAGGCAAAGGCAGGCAGATCTCTGTGAGTTTAAGGTCAGCCTTGTCTACAGAGTGAGGTCCAGGACAGCCAGGGCTACAGACAGCAGCCCTGTCTCGAAAAATGGGGTGGGGGAGTGTTTTGTTACTCCTTTACGTGGGCTTTGAGGCCCTGATTATGAGTCAGAGATCTGCTAATGTTGGTGAGCTTCCATAGGAAGCTACTTAAATATTCTTTGAGCTAAGTCAGCTCTTCAAATGACTTTCTATGCAACAATTAAATGATTTTCCCAATTCTGATCTTTCTTTGCTATGGGCACTTATCAAACATTTCTTTGATACATCCAACTTTCTTAGAAGCAAGCATCATACACTACAGTCCTGCTACTGGGATTTTTCTTTTGTAGCCTATAATGAATGTCTCCTTTAAAATGTTATAGTTTTAATTGTGATTAGAAAGCTGGAATTATTTTTTTTTTTTTTAAATTTAGAGACGGAGAGATGACTCAGTGACTAAGAATACTGACTCACTTATAGAGAACCAGAGTTTAGTTTCCAGCACCCACCTCAGGCAGGTTCACAGCACTCTAACTCCAGCTCTAGGCAAGATCCAATGCCCTCTTCTGGCTTCCATGGGCACCTAAGTACTTTATAAAAAAACTTGAGAGTACATGCGTACACACGCACACAATTTAGTGGATGTGATGGTTCAAACCTTCAGTTCCGACAGTGGGAGGACAGACCCAGGAGGATCTGAGTTTGAGGCCAGCCTGGTCTACATAGCAAGTTTCAGGCCAGCTACAACTTCCAAAAAGCTTTTTTTTTTTTTAAGTTAGTAATATATATTAGCTATTGTTGATTTTATGTGCTATTTCTAATGAGTTCTAAAGTAACTCATTAATTAAAGACTGATGTTTTATTTATTTGTTTTTCAAACAGGGTCTCTGTGGAGCCCAGGCCACCGTGGAACTCATTATGAAATAAACTAACTTTGAAATCAATTCTTCCAGCCTCAGTCTTTTAAGCACTGTGATTATAGGTGGACAACACATGCCTGTTAAGGGCTATAGATTTTCTTTTCTTTTTCAGGGGTTGGGGAGAGAAGCACAGTTCGAGACAGAGTAATCTTGTAACCTTGGCTGTCCTGGAACTCGTGCTGTAGACCAAGCTGGCCTCAAACTCACAGAGATTTACCTCCTTCCCCAAATGCTGAGGTTAAAGGCATGCGCCACGGCACCTGGCTAAGGTTTTATTTCTTAATATGTTAGAAAATATATGTAACTTTCCTATATATACATATATATATATATATGTATGTATATATGTATATATGTATGTATGTACGTGTGTGTGATATTACACATTATTACACACTCCAGGGTCCATAACACTGAACAAAAAGGTGAGAGCATTCACCAGAAGCCTTCTTATTTTGGTTCCACTACTCAATTTCTTCCCCTTTCCTCCTTTCGTTACCACTGGTATTTATAAATTCAGTCCTAATCCGTCACCTCAATTTTGATCCTATGATCAGATTTCAGTGAGTACCACCACTTAGGTTTCCAACCTTCAACTGACCTGACATGTCCTAATCACCAGGCCTCCACCTCATCTTGTCATTAGCAAGCACTTCTTCAGGTACTTGGGCCTGCAACCTTAAGTTTGCAGGTCTCATAACTGAAGGACAGTTTCTTCTTAATCCAACTTTCTTTTTACACCTAAGTACTAATCTTCAACACTTTAAGTGATCCTTTCTAGAGTTGCCAGCCTTTTTCTTTACTATGCCAATTATGATACACAGTGGGTACATTTAAGAAAAAAAACCCAGTTAGGAATAATACTTTTTTTTGTTTGTTTTTTTAAAGAAATAATACTTTTTTAAAGCAACTAGGATATAAAGGATCCTGTATCAATTTAAAAGTAAGCAATAATGGTTCCTTCATTTTAAATGGTAGTCTGTTATAGTTTCAAGATAGTCTCTCCTACTATGTCCAGAATGTACTCCCTCAACGAAAACAGTAAATAATGCAAATGAGTTGACCCTTTTAAAGCCTTTCTGCAAGAGTCTAACTGAAGCATTACAGCAGATGGAGAAGGTAAGTTAGGGCAAGTTCCTATTTTTAAAAATAACTTGAATATTAGCAACTAAAAAGAATGTTATAACAAATGTTTTACACTTTCTAAGAATTTTCCAAATCTGATTTTTTTTTTTATGGAACTGGAATGTCTGGGGACTTCAATGCTACACTGACTTTTGGGAAGTAGAAACTCTGTTTATAAAATCTGGGAGCACAGAAAAGCTGTCAACATTATCTAGATAAACGGAATATATAGTGTCCATAATCAGACATGTTTTCTATGCTTTCTCCATTTTGAGAAAAAATATGAACGGAAACTGCTTTTCACAGGCAGGCACTTGATCTTATGAAGATATCCATTCATTCTGTCTAGTGAGAAAGCTGTTTCCCACTCACCCAAATAATATTCTGAAATACACACATACCATTCTCTTGGTTAAGACCTCCTTTTAACAGCTTCCCTTCCACACAGAGTAAGAGTAAACCCTAAATCTTTACAATGTCCCCTTCACCCAATGTTGGTCTCTCCCCAGTTTGGTCATATGGCAACAAGAGGGTTCTTTCACCTGGCATTTTTATACTGCTGTTTCTTTTCCTCTAGTCCATACCAAATTCCTATTTTTTCTACACATGGCTGTGCCCTATTCTTCCAACTCTCAGCTCAAATCAAATAGTATTTCCTTTAATAGTCTTCTGAAGTCTCTAATGTTAGCAATAGTCAATTTTTAACATTTTTTCAAAGCACATGCTTTTAAAGAAAACTGTGTCAAAGCAGATGCTGAGACTCATAACCAAACCTTTGGCACAGTGTGGGGGATCATATGAAGGAAGGAGGAATTAGTATATCCTAAAGGGGACAAGGAGCCCCACAAGGTCCAAATATATCTGAGCACAGGGGTCTTCTATGAGACTGTTTATCCAACCAAGGATCATGCATGGATATAACCTACAACCCCTGCTCAGACATAGCCCATAGCAGTTCAGTATCCCAGTGGGTTCCCTAGTAAGGGGGACAGGAATTGTTTCTGACATGAACTCATGAACTTCCCCTCCCCCCTGAGGGAGAAACAGTCTTGCTAGGCCACAGATAAGGACATTGCAACCATCCTGAAGATACCTGATAAGCTAGGGCCAGACGGAAGGAGAGGAGGACACCCCCTCTCAGTGGACTCGGAAGGGGGCAGGGAGGAGATGAGGGAGGGAGGGGAGGATTGGGAGGGAAAGAGGGAGAGGGTTACAGCTGGGATACAAGTGAATGTATAAAATTATTTAAAAATAAAAAAATATTAAAAATAAATAAAGACAATGTAAGGCAGCTTTCTGCCCCAACAAACAAACAAACAAACAAACAAACAAACAAACAAACAAACAAACAACCCTGTGGTGTTTAGCTTATCTAAAAGATATGCTCCATGAGAGCAGGCATAACATGTTGTTCACCCTGGTTCCCCAGCACATAAAAGAAAGCCTGGTCCATAGTATCCACTTTGCTTACTGAATGATGGCTTTTAGAATCACAAAATGGCAAATATGGGGTCATACAAAGTCAGTAAGTTGAAAGTCAAGAAAAAGGAAGAATGCTCTGGAAGGAAAGTTATTAAGCAGAAAGTAGACAGAGCTAATAATCTGGACTCAAAGATTTGAACTTTAAACCTTGGTTCAGTGACTTATCTATTTCACCATGCTATGGATAGCACTGCAGATGCCTTGTAGACAGTAGGTGCAGGCTTCACGAGCAATGAGTCCCAAACGTACTCCCTCATCATGAACATCTGTTTTCAGCACAAGGCACATCTGGAGGCTACAAGCAGCCAAGAAGATTTGAGATGTTGTCACCAGAAAACTACCCAGTGGCAGAGGTGACTGCTGACTTTTTCTTGAGTCAAACCAGTAAGACAGAGAAGGACAGATCAAAGAGGGCAGGCACCCTGGGGTTTCCACATCATAAAGCTACTTGGGAGTGGAAGAGTACCAGGAAGGAACTTGTCAGGAACACAGATTTTGTCATTCAGCTTTCCTGATGACAGATCAGCTATTCTTATGATATTTGAATGGATTCCTTTGGAATAAATGATAATCAAATACAAGAAGGCCAGGGAGATTTTAGAGGTGAAAAAAGGTGAAGGACAATTTAACCAGACACTTGAAGGCAATGAAGTAAAAAACAAAACAAAACCAAAATTTAAGTGTAGAAAACTCCCCTAACATTTTATAATAACAAAGTAAATGAAGTCAAAACTGTAATAGTACAATAAAGACAATACTTATTAGAAGATTTAACCCAAATCTGATTATTATTTCAGAAAAATGGTATAGCTATATAAGAACCATAATTCTTATTTTTATAATCAAAATCACAAGATAATACAATGGTAACATTTATAAAATTAAGAGTTTGTCATCCATCCATCCACCCATCCATCCATCCTTCCATCCATCCATTTCTTCTTCTTCTTCTTTGAGACAAGGTCTCACTATGTAGCCTTAACTGGCTTGAAACTCACTATGAAGATGAGGCTGAGCTCAAACTCAGAGATCTGCTTGCCTCTGCCTGGGATTAAAGGTGAGCCACACCAGACCTGGTCATCACTCACTCTTGTGAGCTGGAAATGGTGGTGCATGTACCAATAATCCCAGCACATGGGAAGTAGTGACCTTATTAAGGTTTTATCTCAGAAAACAAAACAAAGCAAAACAAAAAACCTTGGATGGTAAGTAGGAGGGTACAGGACCAGGAACTACCAGTTTTGTTAAGACTTTAACTTTTTCTTTGATCAAATTAAAGGTTAATTTTAGAAAGAGTCACCTCTCTAGCAACTATGAATAGTAATGACGGCTAGTTCCCAGTTACCTCTAGTTAACCATTTTAACAAACAATCCCCATTACAGTGTATCTGACATTTGTTATTTTCCTCTCGCTCTAAGAAAAGGCCTCACTATCTTGCATAGGCTGGACTTGAACTTATGGGCTCAAGGGATCCTCCTGCCTCAGTGCTGGGCTGTAGGTGAAGAAAACCCCACTCAGCTTTATCTTATGATGAAAACATTTTTTACATAGACAAAATATCAATATGAATTTCAACCAATAAAATGCCAGTAAATTGATTTGTTCTGCATTAGTATTTCTGAACCCACATGAGTGGAAAAATGATAATTGATATTATTAAGAGTGTATTCAACACTAAGTCTTACACAATACTGAAACGCATGAAGCCTCTACAAAAAGCAATGGGAAAACTTTTCATTACATTTCCAACCCATAAAAATAGGAGGCAACAAGAAGTTAAAGCATTCCCTAGACAGCTCATTTCACAGATGAGAATCATGTTCTCAAAGATTTAGGACCAAGGACTTGTACATCATAAAATATGTACTTTAAAAAGGTATTTGCAACATAATATTATGTAAGGTTTTTTTTTTAAAACACCCTACAAGAAAAAGGTGGTGGGTAGAGGTAGTTTTTTTTTTAATCTCTAAATTTGTTCATGGTGAATATATATTACTTCAGGAGGAAAAAAATATTAAAGAAGCCACATCATTAATGTGAAGGAAAAGTCTCTGAAAGCTTCAAAATGTAGACAAGACAGAGAAATGACACAATAACACAATACAAGTTACTACAGAAGTCAGAGCCAAGAAACCTGTGAACAACTCGAGACATGTTAGTCCAAGGTTGTCATTCAGCAGCCATGTAGTAGGAGGACTGCTGCAAGACTGAAGCTAGCCGGGGCTACAGAGTAAGATCCTGTCTCAAAAACAAACAAAACCCAACAAGAAGCAACAACAACAAAACCCTTCTCAAAATAACCCTAAGGTAAGTGGACTATATCAGCACATGCTAGGAATCTCAGCTTCAGGGCTAGGTAGGAGAGCCTGGCCAGTCAGGTCTATGTACAAATGTCAACTCTATAAACATAGCACTGAATCAGAAACTACTACCAAACACAGAATAACATAGCCTTTATTTTTTTATTAAAAAAAATCTTAAAATTACATTTATTCTTGGGTAGGGGAAACTGTGCCATGTGTACATGTGGGCATAGAGGCCAGAGAACAACTTTGGGGAGTCTGTTTCTCCGTCCACCATGTAGAGCCAGGGACTGAGCTCTCGTCGTCAGGCTTGGTGGCAAGCACCTTTACCTGTTTAGCCACCTCACTGGCTGAGAATAAACTATTCTTGAGCTGAAAAAATAGGTAGGTAGGTCTGAGGTTCATTATGTTCTAATTACAAAATTAATGAAAACTAGATAAACACAGCTACAGCCCAAGGATACTGGGATTTAAAGGTAAACGTTCTAGTCATTTCAGCAGACAAAACACATAACAGAGAATAAAGTAATCTGCATGGCCTCAGACTTTTCTATAATCCTAAATACAAAGCAAGGAAATCTGAGTGAAGTTAGTGAGCTAGGAAGTCTATTCTCATGTGTTACAACATAGAAAGAAGTAATCAGGTGTGCAAAAGCAATGGTAAATACTATTTGTGTCTCTTTCAGTAAAGAGTCCCTAGCTAATTGAGGGAAAAGTTTAAACTAAAAACCAACAAACTGAGAAAATGTGGTATATAGGCACTCCAACATCAGCAGACAGAATTAAACATGAATAACTAGAAAGTTAATGTAAAATAAAAATTTGGAGAGGAAAAATGCTTAAAGAAAAAATACAGATGTATACATTTGGCTAATGAACAAAACCTCACTGGTTAAGAGCATGTGCTGTTCTTTCAGAGGACTAGAGGTTGGTTCCCAGCACTGCCTGTAACTCCAGCTCCAAAGAGCAGTCGCCCTTTTCTGGCCTCCTTAAACACGCACCTAATACACACATCACGCCCCATACACATTTATAAAGACAGAAGAAAAGACAAGGAGACAGGTGAATATATGTTGAACTCCTGCACTACTAATACGTTGTTCTTGCTTTTAATAAGAGTTTTAATAAGAGAGTTTGTGGAGATTTTCCCCCCTCAACAGTGTGTCATACAGTTCATTCTGGCCTTGACCTCGCTGTGTAACCAAGGAAAACTTTGAACTTCTGAGCATCTGGCCTCCACCTTCCAAGAGTAATGATTGCAGGAGTGTACTACCATGTCTGGCTAAAAGATAAAGTTTTAAATATAGACTCAAGTTTTGTTTTTCAAAACAAATAATAAAGTAAATATGATTTTTTCCCCCTGGTATTAGGGATTGGACTTGAAGTTTCACACATGCTAGAGAGACTATCAGTGAGCTAACACCCCCATATTCTCATTCTATCTTCTAAAGTTTTATTTTTTTTAAAATTTTAGTAAGACTCTTGTTATGCAGCCCAGGTTAGCTCAGAATTCCCTATATACAGCCCAGGCTGGCCTTCAACTTGAGTTCTTCCTGCTTCAGCCTTTCATGTACTAGGACTGCATACACACATACTTGTATGGCACCATACATACATACTTGGTTGAAAAAAAAAATTAAAAACCCACATTCCAACAAAAACTTCACCCAGCACTATATCAGCATTGAGAAAATTCCACGGCCATGGCTATATTCAGCCTACTAAAAAGACACACTTTATGTTGTATATATCACGTGGAATGTCATTAAGGTGACTCAGAAAGTTTGTGCATTCTCACGTTTATCACATAAATACGCAGTACATACATACCTGCACACTGGCTGTTACCACTGAAGGCCCTGAGGCAGAGGTTGGTCTATGTGGAATAGACAACGGTTTAGTAGCACCCTGTGTTCCACTTCCTGTTCCCCCAGATAGACTAGTCCTATTAGCTCCACTTGAATTAAGGTTGCTACCTCTGCTGGCAGGTACATTCATTGGAATTCCACTCAAGCTGTTCTTCCCAACAGTTCCAGTGGACGATGAGTTTGTGAGTTTAGAAGGGGCCTGAAGAGTTTTTGTAGTCGGAAGGCCAGAGGTGCGATTTGAGGGCAACAAATTCAGAGTGGGAGACTGTCTGCTGATGCTCATTCCACTAGACTGTTTATGGACAGGGTTGTTACTGGTGGAGTGGCTACTCTGGGCTACTAGTGTGTTTGGACTGGAAGAACTTGGGCATACAGCAGGCTTGGGAGTTGGGTTGGATTTAGAAATCAATTTAGTAGAGATTGAAGGCTTAGCTGACAGAGGGGGTTTGGGTGAGGCAGAAGGCTTAGGTGAGGGCAAAGGTTTGGGAGATGTGGCCGGTTTGGGAGATGCGGCAAGTTTGGGAGATGCAGCCATTGAGAAGGGAGATTTAAAACCCTGCGTAGAGATTTGTGATACCATAGCCTTGGCTAAATAGTTACTGGAGGTAGTGGTGCTTGGTGCTGTCCTAGAAACCAGGGGGTGGGGCCCCTGAGACCCATTTCCAGGTGATGGGGTAGACAAAGGGAGGCGGTACATCAGTGGCTTATCTGAAGTCTTGAGTAGTTGGGACGAACAGGAAAGTTGGGGATTATTACTTAGTTTTACCACTGGGTTGGTCTGTGATTTACTAATGGTGGCTTGTAATGGAGACACATAGTTCTGCTGGACAGCTGAATGCTGGTGCACCTTTGTTACTTGTGTTAATGAAGAAGCATCTTGGGCCTCTGATGTTCCCAGAGCGTGAGAGGAGGCAGCAGCTTGGGCTTGGGAGGAGGAGACATGAGTCTGTGAAGAGGAAGAAGCATGTATCTGGCTTGCCCTTTGCAGTCCTTGCTGGAGAAGCCTGGCTGGCAAAGGTTCTAAGGAAACTTTAGGGTTCTGAATTGAAGAACCAGCAATAAGGCCTGAAGAAATACCAGTATGAGCTAAGTCCTGGGGTTTCTTTGGTACTGGCCCCGTGTGACCAGCAATAAGACTTGATGAGTGCGCAGTCTGAGTAGAATCTAGTTTTTTGGGAGTAGCCAGTGGTAACTTACTCATGATACTTGCTAGTTTCTCTTCTCTCAGTCCTGGACGAGGTTTTGTAGTTGGCACATTTAGCCTTGAACCAACTGAGGGGCCCTTGTTGCCATTGTTGATGACAGCTAAAGCTTCAGATACAAGGTCCAGTGAAGACGAGTGGTAAGAAAGGTCTTCATCCAGGGAGTCATCAAGGCAGATGGTTTCTTGGGCTGGTGTTGAGCTAGAGCTGGCTGAGGCAATGATGGATGTGCTGGAACTTGTGGATGGACCAACTGAAGCCACCAAGGATGCAGGAGCTTTTGGGTCTTTTTTTGGACTACATTCCTAGCACAAGTAACATCATATTGGAAAAAAATAGTTAATTATAGATTTTAAATTTAGTTTTTACAAGACTAAGACATTCTTATAACTAAAATTATTTTTTAGTTATTTTGCTTGTTCTGACACAGGTCTGTTCAGAGCCTTGCCTGTCCTGGCACTCCCTATGGAGATCAGACTGGCCCTGAGCTTACAAAGACCCACCTGCCTCTGCCTCCTTCCTGCTGGTACTAAAGGCATGTGTCACTGTACTCAGCCCCCCCCCTTTTTAATTAAAGATAGAAATCTTGAGAAGACTGCCAAAACCAAAATAATGTTGAGAAGACAGTGCTCTATGCAGCAATCCTGACAGCACAGTGTGTGGCAATACCATGCCTTGCAAGTCATCTCACCAGGACTTGAACATGGGGCTGAAGGACACTGACTGAGGGAGACATCAACATACTTCAATTCCAGCCTATCCACCACCGTACACAGGAAAACCAGTGAGTTATTCAACCGCATTAAATCATAGGTCTACTCATTATGATGGACATTATTTGTAATTTATCAGATATGTGTTTAGTGTCTCCTACGAGTAAGGTTCTCCCGTAAGAAAATAAATCAGTGATTAAACGCTTGATATCTACGTGAATATTGTCTGTTAAATTATAATTTAAATTATAGTTTAAAATATTCAGAGCAAAAGAAAAATATTAGCAAGTTAAAAAGCAACCATTTATTTGTTGAGAGTAAATAAAGTACTATATTTCTTGTTTTAGATAAAGTCAAAACTACTACACAGATCAACAAATCATCTCAGAAGCTCTATTAGTTCCTTAGAACGGTCTTATACACTGTTTTTTAGAGCTACATCACTTACCTTCAGCATAGAGGACAAAGAATGAACAACAAGGGTCTTTACCATCACTTCCTACAGTGTTACAGTAAGTAAGCTGTTAAGAATGCTGTTACCGTCTAACTTACACATCACTTGTCCTAAATTTTTATTCCAAGAACTCCAATTTGAAACCTAGCTACGTAGCATGGGTACGATATCATCAGGGTCATACTGTCAGCTTAAGATGAGAGGGTAATACATGAGACCTATGCTTGCGCATGCCAACAATCCAAGCACACTATCACTAAAACGCCATCATTAGAGTACAGGACTGAGGTGGGGGCAATAATATCAAATGTATTACTTGTACAGGGTAGCAGAGTCTCATTATTCCAGGTTAACCTCCAACTCTTTATCAAGCTCAGTATCAGCTTGAACTTCTAATCCTCCTGTTTCCACCTCCTGAGTGCTGGGATTATAGTCACGTTCTACCATGACTGCTTTATGTAATGTGAGGGCTTCAAGCATGCTAGGTAAGCACTTTTCAAATGAGCTATATCCATGGCCCAGATATGTCTGCTTTTAGGGATATTTTTATTACTTTTCCACCTTAAATATTAATTTTGGCAGTGAAGGAAGACTTGTTCTTGGCTAAAGAATAAAAGAAATGTGGGAGGGATCACAATCCAGTTTCCCCTAAGCACTGTTAAGATTATTTTCTGTTCTTTTTTTCTTGGCAATGGGAGCAGGTTGAGACATGGTCTAGGTATCGCTAGAAGACAGAATGGCCCCAAACTTGTTGCAATTCTTCTGCCTCTGTGGCCAGAACGCTGGGAGTACAGATAAGCACCAACATTCCCAGGTAATTTTATGTTCTAAATTAACAATCTATGCCATTTGTCCTTTTGGGAATTTGTGGTGTCCACTGACTCTAACCTGTACTAATATATCCTCCCACATAGTCTATGTTTCAGACAGTAAGCTCATGGGTTTTGTTTTGTCCTGTGTGTTGTGGGTCTAGCGCTTTTTTGTGGTGCTGAGATTGAGCAGAGGGTCTCTGGCATGCCAAGTATAAGCTTTGCCTGGGCTCTGCCTACCGTTTGTATGTTTGACTTAGAAGTAGGTAAGCCTAGGATATGGAACATTACACGGCACAAAATCTGCTTCTGCATGCTGCCCTGGGTCATTGCTAAATCAGTAAATGACTCTGCCACCTTAGGGCTTTGTTACATTGTGCAAGGAATGCAAATTAAACTCCTAACAAAGGGGACATTTTCAGGCAGCGCTATCTTTCTTCAATTTTGCCTTGGCTATAACAGAAAATTTTCTTTGTTTCTCTGCTGGCACATAGATACTCCCCCTCCCCGTCTGTAACTAAAGATGCTATTCTTTCAGCCTTACTCGGGCTTCTTTTCTATTTCTGACTTGTACTAACCCCAGAAAATCCTACCTGCTATATTCTGAGAAGAGGGTGAAAAGAAAGATGTGATGGGTAGTCTCCTCAAGGAAAATGAAGGCCTCAGCAACAGACCACCAACTTGGAAGCTCCTCTTTGACTCTGAACTTCTCCTTTGTATTTATAATCTTAGCTATGGTTTTTGAACAAGGTTTCTCTGTGTAGCCCTGACTGTCCTAGAACTCACTCCATAGACAAGGCTGGACTTAAACTCAAGAGATCCTCTTGCCTCTGCCTCTTGAGTGCTGGGATTAAAGGCATGTACAACTATGTCCAGATAAACATGTTTTTAAAGAACATTTGTTACATTTTATTCAACATTTCTATGTAGAATTAATGTATGCAAATTACACAGCTCCACAACTATCTACTTCTCAAATGGACTTTAATGAAGTTGAAAACAAGCAACTTAGCATAGCACCTCATGCGTCCTTTTCATTCTAAGAATCTATCCCAACACTCACCAATTAGGACCAACTACAGATATGCTGAACTCTTACCTTGACTTTGGGTTTTGATGCAGGAATCACCTTTTTCTTTGCCCTACAATAAGATTAAAATGAAGGTCATTCATTTCAAAAAGCAGTTGTATGTTAGGAATTATAGCAGACTATTCTAATCAATTCATTCCACTGTTTGAAAACCTCTTTGAAGGCAGGAACTATATAGAAGTACTCAGCTTGCCTGGGGATAGTCAGCAATATTTTTCTAATTCAAATTGACTAAAGGCAAATAATTCCTAAAATAAGAAACACAGATAAGAAAAAAAAAATAAAAACCATACATAAATAAATAAAACATAAAATAATTCAAAAGAGGTTAGCCTAAGAAAACTTACTTCAAAGGATTGCTAAGAAATCACAATTATTTGTACGCAAACAGCTTCAAGGTATGCCAAACACAAATCAGGGCAATGGATTATTAATGACATTTTATTTTATTTAAGAAAAAAATTTTAAGGTTTTATTGAAAATTATTTTTAATTGCAAAAATCAAATGAAAATTGTTAGAATGATAACAAATCAATCAATCAATTAATTAAAAGGAAAGAAGGAAGTTTTGTGAGTTTGAGGTCACTCTGGTCTGCATAGTAAGTTCCAGGCCAGCCTGAGCTACATAGTGAGACCCACTCTCAAAATAAATAAAGCAAAAAACTTTTTTTTTTTTTTTTTTTTTTTGAGACAGGGTTTCTCTGTATAGCCTTTGGCTGTCATGGTACTCACTCTTTAGACCAGGCTGGCCTCGAACTCACAGAGATCTGCCTGCCTCTGCCTCCCAGAGTGCTGAGATTAAATATGTGCACCACCACTGCCCAGCTTAAAGCATGGAACTCTGAATATTTAGGAACCAGCATGAAACATCTGCCAATATGCAGCTTCAGGAAGGCAACAGCAATTCTCCATGTTGTTTTGGAAGGAAGCCAGCAAAGCATTAAGACAGCCATATTTACCAATCCTATTTTCTTTTTTTCTTTTTGGGTGGGAGGTATTTAAGGGGTTTTCTGTGCAGTCCTGGCTGTTCTTGAACTCACTCTGTAAACTAGTCTGGCCTCAAACTCAGAGATCTGCCTGCCTCTTCCTCCCTAATGCTGGGATTAAAGTTGTATGCTACCATCACCTGGCTTACTTATTTTCTGCTACAAATAAACAAACAAATAAATCTCAAAGGTGGCAGTAATAATGGAACTATTTTTCAAAAGCTGAGAAGAGGGCTAGGATTTAGTTAAATGGCAGAACACTTGTCTGGCATGTATAAAAGCCTAGGCTCAATGCCCAGCATTGATGGGAGCCACACATAGTGGCAAGTACTCATGATCTGATCTACCTGAGAATTAGAGGCAGGAGAATCACTTAAATCTCAGGAATTTAACACCAGACTGGGCAACAAAGCAAGACTCTGTCTTAAAAGAGAATACAGTGAATAACTGAAACAATAATAGATCGCTGATGATATACTTATAAAGTGTCCTTTTTAAACACTAAAAATTTTCCATTTCTTCTAACTGTATGCATAAAAGGGAAAGGAGGAATTTTATAATATCATCCCCCCCAAATAATAATGTGCTGTCTTAGCAAAATTACATTAGAAGTACATTAAAGCACTCAGCAAATTATCTTCATAACTTTATATATTTCAATAACTTTTTTTTAAGTGCTGGAGATGAAAGCAAAAGCCTTATGCATGGTAGGTAAGTACTCTACCAACTGAGCTATTTTCCCAGCAGATCAACATGTACCCCCAAAAGCAAGCACAAACAAAACATGGCATCTTGCTGTGCACTGGGGGAAGAAAGGCCCACTCTTAAATAACAGTCTCACTGGGCTGCGCATGCAGCTCAGTAGGAGAGTACTTCCCAGCATATGCTGGGAACTTGTGCTTAACTTCTGCTATAAACATATTTTAAAGTTTGATGTTAATTTTTTAGAGACTGTATATCTGTGTACTGGTATAAAAATGCAGCAGTGCACATATGGAGGTAAGAAGGCAACTTTCAGAAGTTGGTTGTCCACTTTTACCATTGGGTTCTAGGGATCCCATTCAAGCCTATCCACTGAACCATCTCTCAGACCTAGAAATTTATAGTAATTTGTATAAAACTGTGTTTGTTTTTCTGTTTCTCTCTTACCCTGGCTAGCATTAAAATTATTGAGACTCTATTATATCTGTTTAATAAGCTTCATAACACAACAACTGAACAGTTATTACTCTATTCTTAACCCTCTTAAACTATTCTGGCTTCCTCTTTGCCAAAATCCCCAAGATACTTGCAATTTATGGCTTTCTCTGCTCCAGCTGAATTCCCTACCTTCCTACTCTAATTCCTCCTCCTCTGGCTGGCAGGATGTCCAGCCCTGTTCTCTCCCCTGCTTTACTGGCATAACAGGGGACAACTGGGGAGCAGTGTTTACACAACATTGAGACGGTAGTTTCTTAGAACAGGACTGCAACCAGATGTGGGGTGTGGTACAGAAATAAGCATTTAAATTATAGAATAACCTTATGCTTACAGAAATCTGGTCTTTATCTTTACTAAGGAAACAGTCAGTTCTGTACACAAGGAAGAATACTATAAGCTTAGTTCATCTAATGTAGTTACCCATGCAGACAGCAAAAACAAGGTGAGTTAACCTAAGCTCCCCACTACATGGTTCCATAATCTACAGGCTTCCCACTCTAGACTGGGAAGGTTTGGAGACTATCTCAGGACTGTTTCCAAAATCAGCAATTCAAAGAACATAAAAAACAAAACAAAACAAAAGGTTAGTAACACAGAGATGACCTAACGGAATACTTAAGTCTTACCTGTCAATCAGCATTTTTGTAAGTAATAGAAGTAATACTTTTTTAATTATTTATTTATTCATGTATATAGTATTTATTCTGTGTGCATGTATGCCTGCAGGCCAGAAGAGGACATTAGACCTCATTATAGATGGTTATGAGCCACATGTGGTTGCTGGAAGTTGAACTCAGGACCTTTGGAAGAGCACACAGTGCTCTTAACCTCTGAGTCATCTCTCTAGCCCCCATATTTTTGTTTCTTAAAAACCATATAACATGAATAAAAACAAATGGAGAAACCTGGAATCAGCATTTACTCACGGAGCAGAAGTAAGATGATTATGTACACTCCGGCTTTCCTTAAAAAGCATTCTGTAAAAATTAAAAGACAAAGTTACTTTTTACAGTAAAGAACACTGTAATGGCTTCACTTTTTTATTTTTAGCATACAAGATTTTGTTGTCTGGCCTAGACGAAGTCAAGACCTCAAAGTCAAACTCAGCATTGCAGCTCAGGCTGACCTTGAACTCAAAATCCTTAACCACAAAAGTACTAACTACTTTATTTAATAACATATTTCGTGAAAAGTTTTGTATTGTTTCTATATATGCGGAAGTTTTAACAAATCAACAGAGAAGATTGTTTATGCTATTTTAAGATGATAGGTTGAGGCCTGCAGAGATGGCTCAGAGGTTAGGAGCACTAGTTACTCTTCCAAAGGTCCTGAGTTCAATTCTAGCAACCACATGGTGACTCACAACCATCGCACGACCTAATGAGATCTAGTGCCCTCTTCTGGTGTGCAGGCATACATGCACACAGAACACTGTATGCATAATAAATAAATAAAATTTTTAAAAAAGATGATAGGTTGTAGCTAGGTGCTAATGGAGTACTACTTTAATCCCAGCACTTGGGAGGTAGAGACAGGCAGATTTCTGAGTTTGAGGTTAGCTTGGTCTACAGAGAGTTTCAGCACACCCAGGGCTACAGAGAAGAAACTATATAACAGAAAACCAAAACCAAAACCAAATAAAAGTAAGTTGATAGCCAAGTTTTTTGTTTTTTTGTTTTTTTTTTTTTTTTAATTCTCTCAAAATTCCTCCAGCCAGGCATGGTGGCACATATTTTATGACTTCCAGTATTCAGGAAGCAGAGGCAAGGAGATCTTTGTGAGTTCAAGCCTAGTCTGGTCTATGTAGATCCGCCTGGCTTTGAACCCACCTGCTTCAAATGCACTGAGATTGGAGGTGTGCCCCACCATGACCAGTGATTTTGTGTTTCTTAAGATGGTTTCACTATGTAGGCTGGCCTCAAACCAGCAACTCTTCTGCATCATTATTAGTGATGTGTTACAAGTGTGTGACACTACATCCAGCTCTGCTCTAAATCCAGCATGTGGTTTCTTTCTATTTGTTAAAAGCCCCTCAAGTTTACAACCTTTCCCTTAATACTCAACTCAGAAGCAAAAAAAGAAAAGTAATTTGAGTTAAAAACAAAATCTTTTACACTTATCTTATTATTCTATTTTCACAAAGTTGTAAGTTTTGTTAAGTGCTGATGATCTGAAATACTACACATACACATACATAGTTGTTTTTGTTTTGTTTAGTTGAGACATGGGTCTCTCGATGTAGTCAAGGCCTGTAACACTATATATTAATAGAATGTTGAACATGAAAGTTCTTATTTTAAATAATTTTTTTGAGATTATAATGTCTCCTTCCCTTTTCTCTATCCAAACCTTCCCATGTATCACTCCCTAAATACATTAAGTTCTTAGCAAAATTAATGTGATGTGTGTGTTTGTACAAATATATATATTGACATTAAGAAAACACAACAAAATCTATAAAGGCACACTTCTTACCTTGCCTGCATCCAGCCCTTAGGCCACAGTGGCTTCACCTCTGTCTCCATGAAGGATTTAAGATAATCCTCAGCAGACTGGCTTTTATTTGGCTCTAATTCATAGCATCCCAATTTGATCTCAACAAGGTTACATAATAAAGTTCTAAACAGATTAAAAATGTATATTGATATAGAACTCTGAATTGTGAAACTAAAGAAAATAAGATTCAAAACAGGTATTTTCGAAGCACACAAATCTGGTGGCAATAAAGAATATTAGCTAAAGAATTCAAACAATGATGAGAGAAATAAGTTCTAACACTGACCATTCATTTTGTAACCCCCACCATGAAACAATGGCCTTTGGTACCTTTCTTTAAATGAGTAAAGATTTAACAGGATAATTGGGGTACAGCAAAGCAAAGAGTTCACAAAAGAATAGGTATTACATGCTTATCCTTCTGCAACTAGAACGACTTCACTCCACTGAATAGCTGATTAAATGTGTTACATAAAATCCCAAACACCAAAAACACCCTGAGAAAATTATACCAGATTAATTAATATTCTTGAGTATGTTTTCTTACACATTAATCTTTGGTTGCATCCAATCTAGTCCTCTACTTTCTGCAGATTCTTCTTCTCATTGTATCTTTGACTAACAAAACTCACCTTATGGTGTCATCCCAGTGAAATTTCTTTCGTGGGCCTATGACTCGTTTCCCTGGTTTCTCATCATCATCATCATCGGATCCATTTTTTTCCCGTTCTTCATCTGCTTGCAACCTAAAATGAAAAACATTTTATGAAGCAAAGTTTTAACCCAGAATTCACAATACTTCAGCCAAGTCTTTACTCAAAACAGAACAAACAGCAAGCTGTATTTCCACATAATATGGTGAATTCAGAACCAGTATAAAGTGGCTGAGTAAATAAGGCCTTTAAATTGTTAATACAGAGGTACAGCTGCTCATCCTTTAGATCAAAATCTGTATGTCTAGCCCCAGCTTAGTCAAATTGGTCAACATGAGAAATGCCTAGTCAGCATTAGCTTTTAGCCTTCTTCCCGGCTAGCCTGGAACCTGGATTACCCTGCTGAAACCTCCTAATTTCTGATAGGTTAGGCATGTCCCATGATGCCCACCTAGGCTCTTGCTTTGTTCATACCATACACTAACCAGACAAAGCTTTTGACAGCAAAGCAGTTGATTGGGAAGTGTCACATCACTTAGGACATATTCAATGACATCATTTCAATGGTATACAATGTATACTTAAGAACATCAGCTAAAAGTGACTTTCCAAAGTCAGCCCAAAGCAGAGGTACCTACTTGGCACACTTGGCTTGACTGCGAGCCTGGCAGTCCTCTTGGTATTTAAACAGCTGTTCAGGCATGACGTTGCTAACAGCCAGCTTCAGTTTCTGCAGAGGTTCTCTTAAACGATCATCCTGGGGAGGTGGGAGGGACATAATTAGAGTTTTTTCACTCTATAAGCAGTAGGTTTGATTTCAATAGGTGAAATCAAACTTCACATATTGATTACAGACCTGAAATGTTATCTAACACGGCTACTTCTTCTATAGCACTGACTTGTCAATAGACACACTGGAAGCAAAATTAGGATGGCTGTGTTTTCTTCTACACCAAGCACAACCCCAGTTTTCAACTGCTACTTAAGGATTCTTAAGGATGAGTCCAAGTTTTGGCCAATAACCTTTATGAACAAATGGTAACACAAATATTGGCCAATAACCTTTATGAACAAATGGTAACACAAATAACCTGGAGAATGGGACAGATATTGCCCAGACTATTATTTGACTCCTGCTTGGAAGATATACCCAAGGAAGACACTACTCTGAAATACTTCAACACACAGAGTGCTTTGGTGACTGCCCACAGGTTGTGGGCTTCCTGCTCTCCCACTGGTTAGCAATTATAACTTTTGCTGCAAGCAAAAACTAAGTTCAAGCCAAATGAAAGAGGAAACGGAAACTCTTCTCCATATGAGTTCAGCACAGAAAGAAAATAAGAATTTTACATCTGACAGCTTAAAGCAGCCAACAGCAGCATTTTCTTTTTTTGTTTTGAGACAGGGTTTGTCTGTGTAGGTTTGGCTGTCCTGGACTTGCTCTGTAGACCAGGCTGGCCTCAAACTCTCAGAAATCTGCCTGCCTCTGCCTCCCAGGGTGTTGGGATTACAGGCGTGTGCCACTGCGCCTGGCTTAGCCAAAAGCATTTTCATCTTGCAAATAACATATATTTTAAGTGCTTAAAATCTTCATTGTTGTCATAGGCTCAGAAATATCTTAACTGTTTTTTCACTGAAGCAAATAAGGACTAAGGCATACCAAGAAAGCCTTCACCCTGTGCTAGTCCCTGAGTCCCGAAACAAATCATCATAATTTTTGATAAAAGTTGTATTTAAAACATGAAAATTATGACTAGAAACTATTTTAACCTATTCCATGAATATCAATTAATAAGTAAGCATGTAATAGGGTCTAGCATAATACACTGTTTGTAAAGATCTCACATTTTGCATCAAGGTTTCTTAAGGAAATATGTAGTTAAGATGCCCTCCCTGGAAAATGTCAAATATCCATTAACAGTGAAACAAAGAAGCTAAAGGAGATACATTTATATAATGGACAATTTTACACAGTTCAGTAGAAATGTATTTCTACTATATGTAGACACATATCTGAGGCACAACACAGTGTCAGAAAGCAAGTTACAGAAGAAAACAATTTATTTCTATTTATGTGACAGTCAAACAATGTAAAGTTTACAATACAATGTTTAGGGATATAAACAGTATGACAAAGCTTATATAAAAAGACCAACAAGAACAAGATAGATAGTGTCTTTCTCCCACAGCCAATAAAATATTAAATAACTTCAATTGTTTCTCTGTAAATAGTTTTGTTTTTATTTATTTTTGTTGTTGTTTTTGAGAGGGTATGTACCTCTGGTTGTCCTAGAAGTCAGAATATAGCACAGGCTGGCCTCTGCCTCCAGAGTGCTGGGATTAAAGGCGTGCACTACTACAGCTGGCCCAAAATATTTAATAATCTGGGGCTGGGACTGTAGCTAGGTTGGTTGAAGACTGAGGTTTGATTCCCAGAAAGATATAAAACCAGCTGAGGTGAGGCCAATCATGGTTGTGCGTATCTTTAATCTCAGGATTGAGGAGGCAGTGGCAGGCCAGTCTAATTTACATAGCCAGTCCTAGGCTAGCCAAAGCCAAAAACAAAAAACATAGGAAGATAGACCCACACTGTTCTGTTCCAAGACCCCACATGGCAGCTAACACAACCGTTGCCTCCAGTTTTGGGGGAGCTAACACCTTCCTTTGTCCTCTATGGACACCATGAACATTCATGGTATACAGATGTACATTCATACAGAAAATAAAAATAAAAACTAACAAAAACAAGCCAAGTGCTGAAGGCCTACAATCCCAATCTCCAAATGTAAACCCTGCTACATCTGGGTTAGTCTCAGCCTTATGCCCTAGATTTCTCAAAAAGGAAAAAAGTATTTTAATTTTATATTTAAATCTTTTTTATTTATTACAATTTATTCATTTGTATCCCAGCTGTAGTCCCCTCGCTCAGCCCCTCCCAATCCTGCCCTCCCTCCCTCTTCTCTACCAATGCCCCTTCCCCAATCCACTGATAGGGGAGGTCCTCCTCCCCTTCCCTCTGACCTTAGTCTATCAGCTCTCATCAGGACTGGCTGCACTGTCTTCCTCTGTGGCCTGGTAAGGCTGACCCCTCCCCTCAGGCGGAGGTGATCAAAGAGCCAGCCACTGAGTTCATGTCAGAGACAGTCTTTGTTCCCCTTATTAGAGAACCCAGTTGGACACTGAGCTGCCATGGGCTACATCTGTGCAGGGGGTTCTAGGATATCTCTATGAATGGTCCTTGGTGGAAGTATCAGTCTCAGAAAAGACCCCTGGGCCCAGATTTTTTTGGTTCTGTTGCTCTCCTTGTGGAGCTCCAGTCCCCCCCCAGGATCCTTCTATCTCCCCATTCTTTCATAAGATTCTCTACACTCTGCCCAAAGTTTGGCTATGTAATCCAATTAAAAAATGGGGTACAGAGCTAAACAAGAGAATTCTCAATAAAGGAATATCGAATGATAGAGAAACACTTAATGAAATGCTCAGCATCCTTAGCCATCAGGGATAGTCAAATCAAAACAACCCTGAGATTTCACCTTACACCCATGAGAATGGCTAACATCGAAAACTCAAGTGACAACACATGCCAGAGAGGATGTGGAGAAAGGGGAACATTCTTCCATTGCTGGTAGGAATGTAAATTTGTACAGCCACTTTGGAAATCAATCTGGCGCTTTCTCAGAAAATTAGGAATAGTGCTACTCAAGATATACAGGCATATATATATATATATATATACCTCAAGATATACAGGCATATATCCAAAAGATGTTCAAGTATACAAACAAGGACATTTGCTCAACCATGTTTGTAGCAGCTTTAATCGTAACAGCCAGAATCTGGAAACAACCCAGATGTCAATTGAGGAATGGATCCAGAAATTGTGGTACATTTACACAATGGAATACTACTCAGCAATTAAAAACAAGGATAATCATGACATTTGCAGGCAAATGGTGGGAATTAGAAAAGATCATCCTCAGTGAGGTATTTCAGAAGCAGAAAGACATACATGGTATATACTCACTTCTAAGTGGATATTAGACATATAATATAGGATAATCTACTAAGCAGGAAGGAGGACTCTGGGTAAGATACTCAATCCTCATTCAGAAAGGCAAATGGGATGGACTTCGGAAGAGGACGAAAACAAGAACAAGACAGGAGACTACCACAGAGGCCTCTGAAAGACTACCCAGCAGGGTATCAAAGTAGATACCGAGACTCATAGTCAAACTTTGGGAAAAAGTGTTTTATGCTATGCAAAATGGTGTTTCTCTGGCTTGAGTGTGGTGGTGAATACCTTTAATCCTACCGCTGCTGATGATCTCTGTGAGTTCAAGGTCAACCTGCTGTATATAGTGAGCTCCAGGACAGCCAAGACACATAATGAGACCCTGTCTCAGAAAATAAAAACTAAAAAGTATTTCTGCTTCTAGTTCTATTTTATCAAAATGTTTGTCCTTTGAATTTTGGCTCCAACTGCCATATATCTAAAGTTGCCAGCAAAAATACAAAATATGAAATAGCAATACAATTTCCTTGTTCCCTAATCTACTTTGAATCAAGAAGGAACTATAATTCCTCAACTCAAAAAAAGTCATTGGTAACAGAAATGAGTGCCTTGATAAATAATTCTGTTTGTGGTACCTACTATATTGATTTTCTGGTCCAAGAATCCATGCCTTAGGAATCAGTACTTTTCATTTAAACTTATCAACTGTTAAATTAAATTTTCTAAAGAATTATGTGTGCATCACACATGAACATGTTGTTGTTGCACATGCCATGGTATATTTGTGGAATCCAGAGGACAGTTGCCCGACAAGTGGCTTCACCTGATGAGCCATCTTGCCAGGCCTAAAGAAGGTGCTCTTAAACACCGTTAGTAACACCCTATGTTTATTAAACGTGTAACAAGACTACAAGTATGGACTATAAAGAATAAAGACTCTGAGCAAATGTTTTCTTGCTTACTGTTACAAAGCCAAAGATGGAGGTATCCTCTACTTACTTGAACGTTAAGATGTAACTTCTTTAGACGTTTCACCAGTGCTTCCTTATTGCATGGAACAAATGCTTCAAGGTGGGAGTAGACACCACTACGAATGACAGGGCCTAGATCTTGTAGCTGTAACTCGATGCTGACCAAAAACAAAAACAAAACACACAACAGTAAACAACATAGAATCTCTTTTACATAGCACCATGTAAGGCAGAAAGGTGGCAGGTCTAAGGCTAACCTAGTCTATGAAGCAAGTTCCAGGACAGCCAGGACTACACAGAGAAACCCTCGCTTGAAAATCAGTCAAACAAACAAAAACAAAACAAAGGCGACAAGTAAGCAGATGTTTTCAAAACTACATTTATCATAGTACCTACGGCACTTTCCTTTATGGTATCTGAAAAGGCAAAGCTCCTCATACCCGTGTGTTTAATAGTTTATTCAATTTATTGTAAAGGAGTAGTTCTCACTTCCCCTTTTTTGACAGGAAACTAATTGTTAAATCTGCATTCTGCCCAGTAGCTATTTAATTTTGATGGACCATCCTGCCTCCATTTTAAGATTAGAAGCTAACTTGCTATAAGATCAAAATACCTTCCTTCCTGTTTTTTGTATAACTTAAAATTTGACCATGTCCTGACCCATTTTCTGGAATCTGACATGTTCCACACTCCATACCCTAATCTTCACTCTGTTAAGATGTTTTACCAAGTTCCTATGTAACCAAAATCCTTGGAAACTCCCCTAGTCTTGCATTTTTTTGGGTCTACGTAATCCTCACTTTCTCCTACAGTCAATGCTATTTTCTCAAACACTTTAGGGAAATAGCCTATCTGACAGGAAAGAAAGTTCACTTAATGTGAACAAAAAATTTTGCTTCAGTGGCCTCATTAGGTGGGATTAAATTTTGGAGGTCCCAACAAGATCAACACTCCAACACAAATTCTGAAGCCAGACCTTCACTTTGGGACTCCAGGAGCAGCATGCTGCCTCAGGAAGTGTACACTTAAAGATGTTCCAAGGCTCTGAGGCAAGCTTTCTGTCTAGCAGGTTGTCAGAGAGAACTGCTATACAAAAAAAGAAATTAGCAAGTACCTATCTAAGGAGGCCTCCATCAGTAAGACATAGTAAGGCATCTCCTTACTATGACATCTAGTACTAGCCTGCCAGGATTCCATCTGAGACAGTAAGGGTGCCTGATGAGTTACACGAACTCCTGTCCAGGGTTCGTGAGATGTCACACTACACATAAAACATGTGTTTTTGGCACCTGGTTCTTGGTCCTTCACGGTTTATTTTGTGTTTTATTTTCTCCTGTCTAGGGCACTATTGAGAAGTCAGGTTGCCCACTTGGTTCTTGGATACTGGAAGCCAAGACAGAAATTGATTAAATATATAGAAGAAGGTGGTTACCACATGTTTTGTTTTTGACTGCTTTCTTCCGACTACTGAATGTTCTATGTTCTGCTCACTGGTTTGTTTGTTTTCTGTCTCCATCCCTTCAATGTTTTATGTTCTTCTGTGTTTGTTAGTTTCATTTTTGCTATCTCTTTAAATTTGCCATCTCTGCTGCCACCACAGGGGCCCACCCAGCCTCAGGAGCTAATCTAGGAGATAGCTGAGATGGGCACTACCCAGAGAGCCAGGGCAGGTGGCTGGGTACACTCAAGGTCTGCAGTGCCGGGTTGGGGTGAGGGTGGGAGGTGAATGCAACCCAAGGCCTGGCAGAAGATAGACCTGTCTCGCCTTCGGTATGACTGCTAGTCTAGAATTACCATTATTTTGAGCTCTCCCTCTACTCACGAAATTCAGTTCTTAGGTATGAATAATACTGAAATACTACTTTATACGCCGTTCTACTTTATTGAAAGCCTGGCTCTGTAATTGTATATAACTTCTATCACTCTAAACTCACTCATGTTTGTTTAAAAATTTCTGTCTTATGTCAGACAACCCACCTAATTTTGTTAGCCACTGTCAGAAGAGTATTTTCTAACTGAAAGTCCTGTCCCCAGTCAAAAGATATGGTTGGACTATACAACATAGATTTCCAGGATTATGGGTAAAAACCAACACCCAACACCAAGGGCCCAACACCAAGGTCCTATAATTGTTCAACTAACCATTTAGTCACTTCCGTCCATATTAAATAATACTTGTTAATAAAATACTAAAGCTGCACCTCCATGAATTTATATACAAAAATGTGCCTAGTGCTGGCAGCCAAACTTTGTAATGTAAGAGTCACCTAGATGGTACTGGTTTTAAAAGCATGAAAGGGTTCATGGAGAACAGCTAAACGTTGGCACTATATAGCAGAACTGGAATTCCTGAAACGAGCCTAGGTAAAATTGAGCCCAAGTGCAATAAGGGACCTGAGCAATTCTGGTAATGCCAGTGCCATATGACGACCATGAAGAATAGCAGTCACAATGAAACAGAGCCAACTGCAGCCTAGGGGGTAAGCTATAGGGGATGCTGCCCACAGTGGATGGAGCCAGAGAAGTGACCTGGGTCCGTTAGAGGAACCCAAAAGATCATAAACGAATCCCAGATATTAAGCATTGAGTTGTTTACACTGTTCAAGTTTGTTCTTGCCTCACCCAGAGAATAACTGTGCCCTGTTCTGAGAACAGGGCTCCCAGAGGAGCCCTGGGATATTCCTATCTTATAATGCAGCAGGACAATGACCTAAAGCAGTCCAGCAAAGAGCTTATGGAATTTCTTTCCTTACCTAAAGATTATTCAGGCTAACAAAAACTGACTTAGGAATATATGTATAGCCTCTTTGTCTTTGCTAACTTTATTAAGCTTTACCTATTTTGATAAACTGAGTCATACAAGAGACTTTGATATTCTATAATTATGCACTATGCAAAGACTAGGAAAATAAAGTTGCCAGTCTTCCTATGGACTGCATTTATGATTTAAAGTTATATTTTAATATTAAAATAGCTTCAACTCAAAATTTTAATTTTTTAAAGGCTAAGCCTAACAGGGGTCAAAGTGTAAATACTAATCTTATAAACGCAACTAACTTTTTTGTAAACTGTTAAAGATAATTAAAACATGTAAGTTACCTTATAAATGATAAAATTTTTTAATGTGTTCAAAACTATACTTGTAGTCATCCTAAATACAAATATAAATTATTTACAAAAATAAACTTTGTTTAGACTCCTGTGTTTTCAAGGTTAAACGTAACACAAATAACTAAACATAATTAAGACTTATTTAAAATCAGGTATACTTAATAATAGGTACTGAAAAGTTTTCAGAGTTCTACTGAATATGGCATTTAAAATGTTTCATGGAAAAAACTTCCTATGATAGACAGAAATACCAGTTCCTAGTAGCAAACATAAGGTCTCCAAAGAAGAGAGATGAGGCACAGACAGGTATTCTGGTGACACTAACCCTGGGAAAAACTGCTACATGCCTAAACTGTGGAAAGTGTTGAGTTGACTGCCTTCTGAGGCCTAAGTCAAAGTCAGCCACTATTCCCAAGATCCTCATCCACAGGAAACTCTCTCAGATCTTCTGGGCATGGCAGCCAAAGGCCTGTTATCCTGTGCAGCAGCTGCAGATGCAATGCTGATGACAGAGACCTTTGTCCCAACAAACTACTGATGGAGCCTAGAATAACTGCCCAAGTAGTCTTAAGTCTCTGTCACTTTAATTGCTATTTCCTGCTATGATTTATCTTTCTCAGATCTCTAATGATATTGATGGCTAACTGTAGTTTTATCAATTTAGCAACAGCTGCCTGGTTAACAGGTTTCATATATGAAATCCAGGCCTTGAGCCAGATGTGGTGACATACACACCTGTAATCCCATCACTCAAGAGAAAGAGGCAGGCGGATCTCTGAGTTTGAGGCCAGCCTGATCTACAGAGCAAGTTCCAGGACAGCCAGGAATACACAGAGAAACTCTCTCGAAACAACAACAATAACCCACCACCAACAAAAAAACCCAAACAAACAAACAGGCCTAATTTTTCTGGAGCCATTAGATCTCCTGATGAAAAAGGAAAACTCATAGACAGGTTTACTTTGTGAACAGGTTTCATATTTAAGAACAAACAGATTTCAGTAAGTTTTTACTATTTGTTTATTTAAAAAACTTAATTTGCACTGACTGTTCTCAATAATTAACCACATGTTTAATGATAAATAACTGGATAAAAAAATTTAAGGTTTATATAAATTATAAAGGTTTAAAAATTATTTAAAATGCAAGTTATAAACATCTAAAGATACGAAAACTTAAATTAACTTTTAAGGGTCTAAAAAGTTATTTGAAATAAAAGATTCAGATTTCTTTCTCTCTTTATGCTACTGTTATATTAAGATTTCAAAGGTTCAGAGTTCTGGTTTTTTTTTTTTTTTTTTTTTTTTAAATTAAAGGCTACAGCGCCACGTGTTCCCAGATGGTCTCCCATCCAAGTACTAACCAGGCCCACTCCTACTTAGCACGTTCAGGGTGGTATGGCAGTCGATAAAGGTTCAGAGTTTTAACATTCATCAATGGAGTTCTGACAAGCTGGTAAAGCAGTGACTACAATTATCAGTCACAAATTCAAGATTTTAAATTTCCTTTGGTTGTCTTCTAAGTATAGACTTAAATATGCTTTTCATCATGCTAAAAACATTTCTGTCCAATCTATATATCCAGCCCTCTGAACAGAGAAAAGAATGTTCATGCTTTTTAACCCAAAGCCATAGTAGCTTTGGTTCAAAATCTGTTTTGAAAACATGAGTCTACTTCAGCTATTTCTCAGACACCTGTTACCTGGTTTTTCTACTTTGTGGATTTCAATACAGATTACAATGTATTTACAAGTGTACAAAACTAATGTATCTAAAACTCTTATGTTTTTTGTAAACTTAAAGATTTAAATAAGCTTCAGCAGGGAGGTGGTGATCATCCCACCTCTGGGAGGCAGAGGCAGGTGGATCTCTGAGTTTGAGGCCAGCATGGACTACAGATCAAGTTCCAGGACAGCCAGAGCCACACAGAGAAATCCTGTCTCCAAAAACAAACAAACAAACAAACAAACAAACAAACAAACAAACGATCTAAATAAGCTTCAACGAGTTGCAACCTGAATCCTCCTGTCACAGGTCAAATGGACTATAAGTACTCCTGTCATGATAATTAACATCATAAGCTTCCCTGGGAGGTCCAAATGTAAATTTTTCCTTTAAGTTCCTTAACTTTAACTTGTTTCTAGTCTATATCTGTCCCAGCAGATTTCCACTTGGCTGACAAAAACCACCTAGGAATCAGCTGTGCACTACAAATTTTTCCAAGGATAATCTACACCAGGCCAGACCCAAGCAGTCCTTCAAACCAGAGAGCCCTGGATTTGCTGAAAGCTAATTTGAAACAGTCCAGCAGACATGATTGCTCTGTCTCTTCAGCTGGCTCCATGAGCCGGATACTCTTGACATTGCCTAGGTCTCCTCCTGGCCTTCCTGGACCCTGACAATTTCAGCTGAGAAGCAATTACAGAAGAGAATACATCATCCCTTATCCTCAACAAAGGCTGGGATGGTAGGTCCAAAGGAAACTGGCAAATGGGACAAAATGGCTATCTATAATGCCTAATGGCATACCAGGCTCCCTCATTTCCAAAAAGGTACCTGTTAAAACCAAACAGGCCAAAATTTATCAACAATAGCTTCATGACCTCAAATAGTTCTACAGTATGAGAGGGTACTTGACCTGCTCTATACAGAACTAAGAGGATGACTTGAAGAAAAGCTATTTTCTGAGCTAACCAACTAGAAATAATTCGAGAGACCCTAGGCAGGATACAAATTTGGTCCCTCACCAAATAAAAACTGCAAATACTTGTCTCCTGCCAGCATTATCAACCTATAAAAATTGATAAAAATGGCCATCCCTTGTCAGGATTTGAAAGGGACACATAAGACAAAGGGGAATGAGGATCAACCCAACTTCATCAGTTACTAGGTCAGAACAAACTCATTCTTGTTTTCTGTAAAACTTAAATTTGATCTTGTCTTAGATAGAAAAGGCAAGGATCTCTCTGAACTCAAGGCCAGCCTAGTCTATATAGGAGCTCCAGGCCAGCCAAGGCTACTTAGTGAGACCTTGTGTCAAAACAAAAACAACAAAGTAAAACAAATTGGGGCTCTTGGTCACAAATTATGTCCAAGTCACCACAGATAATTACAGGACAACATTCAGGGAGATTAGGAAACCTTCAACATCAAATGAATTTATAACCTCTAAGATATACCATAATTTCAATCTGGTGGCGGCAGCAGCACACACCTTTAATTCCAGTGCTTAGGAGGTAGAGGCAGGCAGATCTCTGTGAGTTTGAGGCTTGGTCTAAAAAGCAAGTTCCAAGATAGCCAGGGCTACAAAGTAACTGTCCTGAAAAAAACAAACTAAACCAAACCAACCCAACCAAACAAAGAAATATAATTTCAGGAAAGAAAAATAAAACAGACAAAAATCATACTCTTTAGAATTAGTAAAAGAAAAACCCCTGGTATGAGGAAAACTGTAAATACTGAATAGGTTAAAGCAAGAACACACATAGGGAAACAACACCACAGTCACGAGCGCTACACAGAAATGTTTGGCTGTTTGCCCTTGGCTACACAGTTAACTAAGGCCCGAGACTCCTAGTAGGTGGAGTTCTGAACTTATTGTTAAAAGTTAGTTGAGAGTGAAAATAAAATACAAACTCTCAAAGTTCTGAAATTCCACATAAGTCTAGAGTGACTAAAGGAGGCAGTTTAAAAAGTTATTGGTTTCTAAAAATGATAACTCAGATAAGGAAAAGCTGCCTCCCTGAGAAGAAACCAACTGCTAAGTCCTCTGTATACTGCCATTCATGTCACTACTCATTCAAAGAGCACCAGAGAGATAGCTTGAAGGTCTTGCAGGGGCTGTCCAGCAAACTGAGTGCTGGCCTACTGTAATCTGAGTGAAACTGCAGCCAGAAGCTCATTATCTATTAGGAATGCCTGCTTTAGATAACAGGGAAGAAAATCAAGTGAGTATGTTGTGTACTTGTTAATTCAAGTCAAATCCAACTAGATTAAAAAAAAAAAAAAAAAGGTAAACCAAAGAAATTAACCTTTTTCTCCTCAACAAAAGGAAGAAATAGTGAGGCCAATACACCTGAGTAATGCCATGGAATTACTACCTCAAAAAAGCATCACATTACAACAGTAACGCTGTCCAGAAGATGTGTTTCAGATAGAGAAAAAAGGCCAGGAACAGTAATAAAGTGACTAGGAGAAGAAACCTCAACTTTGAGCTTGAAAAAGTCTGAAGAACTGAAGGCATGCCTTTTGTGAAATGAGCAGTAGATGGGAGTGGTAAGTAGAGCTGGAGAGAGAGATGCGTTAGCAGTTAAGGATACTGACCCTCTTCCAGAGACCCAGGCTTGGTTCCCAACATTCATATGGTGCCTAACAACTGTTTGTAATTCTAATTCCAACGGATATGACACCCTCTTCTGGCCTCCTTGGGTACCAGGCACATACATGGTGCAGTTACATAAGTGCAGGCAAAACAGTCATACATAAAATAAAATTAAAACATCCTTAAAAAGAAACAAAAGCCTGTTAATGGAATGACAACAATGTGTTTACCTGTACTGCCAGAGCACAAGAACGGGCTCTTGACTCTCCCAGGGGAAAACAGATTTCCCCTCTTATAGAGGAAATGGGAAGAAAAAGAGGGAGGGGAACAGGGAGAGAGCAAAAAGGCCAGTATTGGCCATGAGGAAAGAGTAGATCTAGTATACAGGGAAAGAAAAAATGGCTAGTGAGATCTGATTATGGAATCTGGGACAAGTCTGATGAGTAACAGTTGTACTGTCTAGTGAATCTGGAATTTAAAAGTAATCAGAAAATGTGGCAGCACAATTTTACATTTCACAATTATACATAATGAAAAACACCCTTTTATATCTAATATTTCTCTTATGTTATTTTAAAAGACAGGACTCATAGACGCATTGCTTGCTCTTATCTTTCTGATACTATACAATACCAGATCGGACCGATTATTTCATCATATAAGCATAATGTGCTTTTTCCCTCACGACCACAATATTGTCTAGTTCTGTCTCCAGTCAATTGTATGCTTATCCTATAACCAACCATTAAAATCTATGAGCCAACTATTTACAAGTACATCTTATTTGGCTACAACCTTCAAATTTGCAGCTTCACTACTATCAAACTCTGAGTATATTGATAATAAATCTAAAAATCTGCTCATTTAAATACAATCCATGTCATATATGAACCTTCATCTTTTTCTTTCCTTATTTGATTTCTGTAACTTTCACATAAACTTAGAGCCAAGATTTGTTTCTTTCAAGACAGGGTTTCTCTGTGTAGCCCTTGTTGTCCTGGAACTCACTCTGTAGACTCAGTGTGGCTTCAAACTCAAGAGATTCACCTGACTTTTCCTCTCACCTATACTACTACGCCTAGCTCCAAGATTTTTTCTTTGAGCCACAGTTTCCATTGGCTACAAATTTTGTATGAAATTATAATAACCATCATTAAATAATCACAGAATCATCTGTCTCAATTCTGAGTAATGGGAATAGGTGGACAATTACACCACTTTGAATAAGTACTCTAAACTCTCACAGACATTTTCATATAAGGTGACACAAAATGCACCTAGAACTAGCTGAATAGTCAACCTGCATAGTGGTCATTTGCTCTAAAAGCTAGGAATATCAAAGGCTGTAACTACCATAAGTAGTATGGCAAACAAATGCATCTCTATCTCACAGATCAATTAATAAAATATTTTAAAACAACATTCATATATGTATGTGCATGTGTGTATATATACATATGGTACCGTGTATATATACATATATATATGGTACTATGGAGTACATGTGAGAAGGCCAGAAGACAAATTGTAGATTTGCTTCTCACCTTCAACAAGATGGGTCCCAGGGATCAAACTCAGGTCATCAGATTTGATGTTAAGCACTTTATCCATTGAGCCATATCATTGGTTTCCACAGGTCAACTATGTGTACATTTATAGCTTTTTTATTTTTTAAAGACAAAGTCTCATAAAGCCCAGGCAAGTCTATAACTTAATATTATTCCTGAAGGTGACCTTGAATTTCCTGGTTCTCCTGGCTCCACCTCTATAGTGTGGGGATAACAGGTATAAAATATCACCCCCAGTTTTATGCAGTACTGGGGAATCTGATCCAGACCTTTATAAATTAAAGGCAAGAACTGTTGCAGTTGAAATGTGTCTCATTATATGATGATGATGATGATGTGCACGCACCATGAGTGCAGATGTGAGTGAATGCATGCCATGAGTGTGTGGGGCTCAAGTGATAACACTGGGGGTGGGTTTTCTCCTCTCATCTGGGTCCTAGGGTTCAAACTAAGAACAAGCTTGCATGGCAAGTAATTTACCACTGAATCACCTCATTGGCTCTCAACTTACATCCTAAGCTAGCCTCAAATTTGTAGTTCTCTTGCCTCAGCCTCTTGGTGCTGGGAACAGAGGCATGAACCACCATTCTCTCAGAGTTTTAATTAATTAATTAGTTTATTTATTTGAGATACAGTATCAAGTAGCCCAGGCTGGCCTTCAACTCACAATGTAGCTGAGGATGACCTTTAGCTGTTCAGCCTTCACCTATGAAGTGCTAGAATTACAGATGTGTGCCACTCAAGTCTAATGCACACCCAAGGCTTTCAAGCATGCTAAGCAAGCACTCTACTGACTCAGCAGCCTGCAATGTTAGCTGTTTGTTATCTTTTCTTTCTTTTAAGGCAGGAATTGTACCCAACCCCACACAAACGCTAGGCAAGCATTCTATCACTGAGGTTTATTCCCAGTCCAGGTTTAAAAAGAAAAACGATAGAAATCACTTACTCAAGAAGAATATTATTCATATCCTGTGTAAAGAATTTTTTCCTTCCTTCTTCATCAAAAAGTTTGGCAGCCTAGAAAAACAAGAAAAACAGACAATGTAATTCACAATTACTGACATGAATTATCTAACAACAACAATAATAATAAACTTCATTATTAGTAAAATACCACAAATTTTGACCCAGAGTCATGCAAAGCCATTTGAAATCCAAATCAAATAGGCTCTCATGTATATATGTTTGCTGTAGTGGCTGTAACCGCCAATAGACTTACTAGCTTAAAAAACAGAGACTTAATTCTTTCACTTGGACATTCAAAATCAGTACCAGTGTACTAAAATCAAAGTGACACAGGGCTAGGCTGTCTTTCAGAGAGCATTAAAAACAAAAACAAACAAACAAACAAACAAAAAAACCAACAACAACAACAAAAAAGATAAAATCCCAAGATGTTAAAAGCAAAGCATACAGTGAGTAGTAAGCACAACATACGGAACTGAAAGTATCACTTAAAATAAAGCAACTTCCCAAGGGTCATTTAAATGATAGCCACAATGAAATACTATACGTACAAAGAAGCAATGTGAAAATACATTAGTACTACCTTTTTTTAGACTTACTCATCATCAAAGGTCACAAAAAGTATGAAACTGAAAACTGAGTATCAATCCTATGATAAAAAGTGCTTGCCAAGAGAAACACTTAAAGTAATGTTCAACATCCTTAGTCGTAAGGAAAATGAAAATCAAAATGACCCATCAGAATGGCTAAGATCAAAAACTCAAGTGACAACACATGCTGGAGAGGATGTGGAGAAAGGGGAACCCTCCTCCATTGCTGGTGGGAATGTAAACTTGTACAACCACTCTGGAAAGCAATCTGGTGCTTCCTCAGACAACTAGGAATAGCGCTTCCTCAAGATCCAGCTATACCACTCCTAGGTAAATATCCAAAAGAGGCTCAAGTACACAATAAGGACATTTGCTCAACCATGTTTGTAGAAGCCTTATTTGTAATAGCCAGAAGCTGGAAACAGCCCAGATGCCCCTCAGTAGAGGAATGGATACAGAAATTGTGGTACATCTACACAATGGAATATTACTCAGCAATAAAAAACAAGGAGATCATAAAATTTGCAGGTAAATGGTGGGACCTGGAAAAGATCATCCTGAGTGAGGTATCCCAGAAGCAGAAAGACACACAAGGTATATCCTCACTCATGTAGGCACGTAATATAAGATAAACGTACTAAAATCTGTACACCTAGAGAAACTAATCTAGAGGGAGGAATCTGGCTAAAATGCTCAATCCCCATCCCAAAAGGTCAGAAGAAGAAGAAAACAGGAAACAAGTTAAGAGCCTCCCACAGAGGGCCTCTGAAAGGCTCTGCCCTGCAGACTATCAAAGCAGATGTTGAGACTTATGGCCAAACTTTGGGCAGAATGCAGGGAATCTTATGAATGAAGTGGGAAATAGGAAGATTTGGAGAGGACAGGAGGTCCACAAGGAGAGCAACAGAACCAAAAAATTTGAACACAGGGGTCTTTCCTGAGACTCATACTCCAACCAAGTACCATGCATGGAGATAACCTAGAACCCCTGCACAGATGGGCAGTTCAGTGTCCAAGTGTGTTCCATAGTAATGGGAACAGGGACTGCTTCTGACATGAACTGATTGGCTTGCTCTTTGATCACCTCCCCCTGAGGGGGGAGCAGCCTTACCAGGCCACAGAGGAAAACATTGCAGCCACTCCTGATGAGATCTGATAGACTAAGATCAGAAGGAAGGAGAGGAAGACCTCCCCTATCAGTGGACTTGCAGAAGGGCATTCGTGAAAAAGGAGGAGGGAGGATAGGACTGGGAGGGGAGGAGGGAGGGGTTTATGGGGGAATACAAAGTGAATAAAGTGTAATTAAAAAAAAGTGCTTGCCAAAATGTTTAAAGTATACAACAGACATTTCCTTTGAGTGAAAACACATGAAGAATTATAACACACACACACACACACATGCCCAGGCACACACACACTGAGAAAGATATATGCTCCGTATGTAGTCCAGACTAGTCTTGAGCTTGGTGATTCTCCTGAATCAGACTCCAGAGTACTAGGATCATAGGCATCTGCCATTGTATCCACCTTAAACTCTATAATCTTAAAAGCTTTAATGTCATTAAAAATTAGACTTAGCCAAAAATCAGACTTAGTATTCAAGTCAGACTTAGTATTCAAGTCATAAATATGTATTTATCTAAATAAAAATGCCAGGCAACAGTACTTTCTGCTCTTGTCATTAATGTTAGGACTTCCATTTTGTTTTATTATTTAAACTGCTAGGTTTTACCTACTGATAATGTCAATCCACATCATTTTTTCTGTGCTGAGGAAAACCAGGACCCTGTAATGTTAGGCAAGTTCCCAAACACTGAGCTAAGCTCCCAGCCCTCAAACCACAGTATTTAAAACATTTTTTTAATATTATTTATTACAATCTATTCACTTTGTATCCCGGCTGTAGCCCCCTCCCTCATCTCCTCCGGGTCCCACCTTCCTTTCCTCTTCTCCCCTTAGGCCCCTCCTCTAGTCCACTGATAGGGGAGGTCCTACTCCAGTACTATCTGACCCTAGCCTATCAGGTCTCATCAGGACTGTCTGGATCCTCTTTCTCTGTGGCCTTGCCAGGGGGAGGTGATCAAAGAGCAGACAAATGAGTTCATGCCAGTGACTGCCACTGCTCCCCTTACTAGGAAACCCACATGGAGACTGAGCAGCCCATGGGCTACATCTGGGCAAGGGTCTAGGTACTCTCCATGCATGGTGCTTGGTTGCTTCATCAGTCTCTGCAGGACCCTTTGAGCCCAGATTTTTTGGCTCTGTTGGTCTCCTTGTGGAGCTCCTGAAACCACAATATTTTAAAAACAAGATTATTTCTGTTCCCTACAGAATGTCCTCGACAGCAGGACATTCTATATGAATGAATTGTTTAACTTTGTATTTGTTTTTAGTTTGTAGTCTATACTTTATATTGACTATCATATAGATCTGCAAAAACAATCAGAGGTTGGTATTATACATTCCCCAAATCTTAAAAATAGGGAGCCAAAAACATAGAAGAGTTACACAAGATGCCCCTAAATGAAATTGCTAGCAAGTTGTGCAGTCAAGATTTAGGCTAAGGCCTTCTGTGTAAACTGTAAAACTGCTGCACAGCAGACACTGGCTGACTGCAGTAGTCTAGCTTCTACATAATTAAGAGCAATAAAAAAAAAATCAAGGAATAAGTACAAACTAATTACATAAGCTTGAGGATAATATTGTCACCACTGAACTTCCTCTTAACCAGGTAACTAGAAGCAAAAGAGTTTTTAACTTAGAAACGCTGCCACAATCACTTATGGCAGAATAGTCAAAGGCAGGTCATGTCAAGAGCCATGAGATGCTCACAGATTAGACAGAGCTAACACAAAACTTCCATCTCTGCCAAGCTTCCAAAATATTTGACAGTTTCACATGCTTTAGGTAGAAAAGGCAAATTTCCAAGACATACTTCTTAGACAGGATGAAGATTAGGCATGTGTAAAAGACAGAAATATACAATGAAAGCCAGAATGAAAAGGAAACTTAAAAAGAAAAAAAAAAAAACTTAGGTCAAGTATTTATTCATTGCAAAGTAAAAAATGAACAGCGAAGCAGTTTATCAGATAGACACAAATGTTTCAGCCAAAGATAAATTTCATCTGCTGAAGAAAAAGCACCATCTTATATTTCAAAGAAAGACACAAAGAACTAGTGTGCATCAGTAAGTGAACCTTTTTATTGGCGATTTCCAACTAAAGGCTGGATTGAGCCTGTCATGGCCACTGCAGACAGATATCTTTTGATGTGAGATATCACAGGACCTTTTTAGGACCAGAATATTCCCATAGCTACCTGAGTAGCGTATGAAGAAAGTGGCTTATATGACAGAGTGTGTGCTACGTAATGCAACTGTCTTAACCCTGAATCTTGCCTTGGCAAGTTAAACATTAGAAGGCTTTCAGAGTATCATTTAGCCATGCTGCATCTAAGTCTCCTTAGCCTTCATACTATGTGCTCAGACCCAGTCAGGTTACTATCTCTTGAGAGAAATGGCAATAGCACATTCAGGGCAGAACATCTGGTTATGTTTTTCCCCCCTAAATAAACAGTACCTAATATTACTAATAACTCCATCTTGAAACACTGTATCATATCACCAGTGCTTTTTTTTTTTTTTTTCCTCCTGAGATAGGGTTTTTCTGTGTAGACTAGGCTGGCCTTGAACTCACAGAGGTCTCTGCCTCCCTCAGTGCTGGGATTACAGGAGCGTGCCACTGCGACCAGCTCACAAGCACTATAATGTAGTATGTATGTATGTATGTATGTATGTATGTATGTATGTAAGTAAGTAAGTAAGTAAGCATGTGCTGGGCCTGCACATGCTTCCTGCTTTTCCTCTGCTACATGCCTGTATGCTCTCTGGGCAACTTCATTGAGTTCACTGCATTTGCATGTCAGGCGTTTCCCTCTCTCAGGGTTATAATCTTTTTCACTGTTTGGCATGGTGGACACTGATTTTGTTTTCTGGTGCTTCTCCATGACCAGTTCGGCTGGCTATCTATCTATCTATCTATCTATCTATCTATCTATCTATCTATCTATCTGATTTCTCCATGTAGCCCTGGCTGTCCTGGACTAGCTCTGTATTTATTTATTTGTATTCTGGGCTGTCCTGGACTAGCTCTGTAGACGATTTATTTATTTATTTATTTATTTTATATTTTTGGGTTTCCTTGTGTTGCCCTGGCTGTCCTGGACTCGCTTTGTAGACCAGGCTAGCCTTAAACTCACAGAGATCCACCTGCTTCTGCCTTCCTGAGTGCTGGGATTACAGGTGTGCATCACCATGCCTGGCCACTGGCACTTTTTAATTTTTATTTTATTTCTTTTATTTTTTGGTTTTTCAAGACAGGGCTTCTCTGTGTAACTTTGGCTGTCTTGGAACCTAGAAGATACCCAAGTGATCAAGACTGGCGCAAAAGGAAATGGGGAAAACAGGAAGATGAGGTGACTCCTGGTGCTTAAATGTCACTTGTTACTTTCAGGATGTGTGCTCTTGTTGAATTATTTAGCCGCTCTCCACTTAAGTTTCTTGTAAATAAAGCTTGTACTTCAAATACAGGATTGTCAAGAAAATTAAAGAAAAAAAAAAGAAGCCTCAAATTAAGAGTTATGGCTCTACTCAATAGTACAATGGTTGCTTGGCATGCACAAAACCCTAAATTCAAATGTCAGGACAATTAAAAAGACAGACAGACAAACTCATAAACAGATTAGGTCTACAGACCTCACCAGCAGAGATCGAGACCATCTTAAAGTGCAAGGGTTGGCAAAAACAGCCAAGCACCGAAGGGAAAGAGAAACCACCCTGGAGTGTGCAAAGATGGGCAAAAACGTCAAAGGACACTTCATACTGATCAAGGGAACAAATCCTCAAAGCATTACAATCTTAAATAAGTATGCAATAAATCTGGATACGCTCACCTCTACAAAGCAAATACTTCCAGATGTAGAGTAACAGATTAACACACACACACAAACACACATTATCAGTAGATGACTTTAATACCCCCACTTTCATCAACCCTCTCACTAATGGATGGATCATATAAATAAAAAATGAAGAGAGAATTAGTTAAATGACATTATAGATCAAATGGAGCTAACATATCTGTACAGAACATTCCATCCAACCACCAGAACATATACATTCTCATTGAACCTACCCTAAAATATTGGGATACAAAATATCTCTCAATAAGTTAAAAAAAACAAAACAAACAAACAAACAAAAAAAACAAACCCAACCCTCCCACCCCCCGCCATGTATCAAAAGCAATAGGAACCACAGAAAATAGACCAGGCATGGCGTCAAAAGCCTTTAATCCCAGAAACTAAGGATAACAAGGGACAAATATCAACAGAACAAAAGACAACAAATCCATGTTAAACGGAGACAAACTTGAAGTATTTCCACTAAAATCAGGAAAGACAAGGACGCCTATTCTCTCCACTCCTGTCCAACATAGCAGTTAAAGTAACAGAGTAACAAGACAAGGACAAAAGTCAGAAAAACACCACCAATAACAACTGAAAGAAAAACAAAAAATGAAACACTCTGACTAAATCTAAGCAAGGAAATAAAAGACTTGTACATAGACGCAGGAGAGAACTTTACAAACACAACTCTGGAAGTACAGGAATTAAGACCAACAACTCCAAATGGAACCTCATGAAACGTTTTTTTCTATATATCATTCTAATAAAGAGAAAACTAAACACCAGGAAAACAAACAACCCATTATTGCTGCTCTTCATAACAGCCAGCAAATAGCCTAGATGTCAATCAACAATGAATGGTGAGTAAAAACATGGTACATTTAACTGTAAGGAAAATTCAGCTGTAAAGAAAAATGAAATTAACTTTATGGGAAAATGACCAGAGTTGGAAATAATCATTCTAAGACAATCCAGACCCTGAAAAATGCACAGTCTATCTCATTTGTGTACGCTAGCTTTGAATTTTCTGATCTGTTTAATCTGGAGGAACCAGAGGTCAGGACCAGCAGTAACCCCGGCCTCAGGGATCCCATGCTCTCTTCTGGCCTCCACAGAACGAGCACACCTGTGCCCAAACCACTGCCCTACGCACATAATTAACAATGATCTAAAATCTTTAAGAAATACAGTCGACATTGGCAATGAGCTCTTTTAACACACTTCCTCTAAATTCTGGACTGAGAAAGGAAATTCAAATAAATAAAAACAAAGAGCAGCCTAATTAATAAGTTACAACCTTAGAAGAAACACTAAATAGCAAATACAAGAGTAAAATAATCAATCAATAAAGTCAAAGGGTCAGTTGACAGAAAAGAATTCTTCTGCTCCCAACATAGGACAATTCAATATTTCAGAGATAAAAGAATAAACACAACATAGGGATGGTTTAAATAGAGACATCTTAGGAGAAAAAAAGCAGAATAGAGAAGTTCATACATTACAAAGAATTATTTGTAGTTAAAAAAAAAAAACAACACTTCACATTTGTGGATTAAAATCCAAAAAAAAAAAAAACCCACCAGTTTAATAATGGCTACTTCTGCTAGAGGTGAGTAATTCAAATTTTTCCTCATATATGAAGTGGATTCTATATTGTTTACAGTAGATGGGCCAGTCTTGGCCTCCGCTGCTGGAACTGCATACACACTACCACACCTGGTTTATATTACTTTTATAATCAGGGGAAGAAAATTCAAAATTACTCAAATATGGCATGGATTTAGACAAACATGCTAAAGTAATCAAAAATCAATTTAAGCCAGGCCTGCCAAATTTGAACACAAACTATTCTGTATCTCAGATGAAAGGCAGATGTAGGAGGCTGGGTTTGCAGCTAGTTAAACTAACAAATGAGCCCAAGTACGAGGAGAAACCTAATGTGACAGCTGTCATAGTGGGACTACAACTAATGCTTACTATAGCTTCTGATTAGCTAGAGAAATAGACCATAAAATAACTATGGGCTCAAAATGTGGCTCAGAGGTAGAACTCTTTTTCAAGCCAAATTTCTCTGTGTAGCCTTGGCTATTCTAGAACTTGCTCTGTAGCCCAGGCTGGCCTCAAGCTAACAGATATTTGCCTGCCTCTACCTGGAACTAAAGGCATGCGCTGTCGCCGGCTCCCCCACCCACCTAGTGGTATAACTCTTGACTAGGTTATAGAAAGCCCAGGATTTGATCCCTTGAAACTGAAAAAATAAATAATGAAACAGAACAAGACTACATGATAAAACAGTTTGGACCAAGTAAGTTCAGGTAAACTTGCACAGTGCTACTAGGTATATATAGCCGATGTCTAAAAGAGACTATGGAAAATAAGAAGTTGCTTGGACTATGGGTCTTTAAACTACATGTTTGTGTGGCAAATAAAAACCAAAAGCATCATTACACTTACTACACGAAGGTCCTCAATGCGTTTCTCAAGAAGCACAGGTAGACCGTCTGGAAGTGTAGGAACCACCTTAGGCGTAACCTGAGAGGTGAAGGTGGGCTGTGTGGTGTTTCCGTTTTCTCCCCCTGACTCAGAGAGGGGACTGCCATCAGAAGTAGCATCCAGTAATCTGTCAAAGTCAAAATCATCTAGCATCTCTAGGGCATTTTCAGCTTCCTGAAACAGTTCATGTTCATTTGTGCTAACAAAAATAGGGAGATCTGGATCAGCACTGTTTAGACTTAAGTCTGGGATGTCATCCCCCAGGCCTGTGGCAGCACAAGAGGGCTTAGGCAGAGAGGAAGTTGACGGGGTCACTGGGACTTTAGGGGTAGATTCCTTCTTCAATGCATCCTTCTCTTTTTGAAATTTTCGTATCATGGCAGCCAGAGAAAGGGAATCTTTATATCGCTTCTTCTTTTTTTCAGACTTGTGTGAATTTAGAGCCACAACTCTGTGAAGGAAAACAAAAAACAAAAAACAAAAACTGGTTGGACTGAATCATTTGAAAAGTTCATCCTCAATGTAAATAAGTAAAATAATTAAATCATGCGGGAGGTGTCTTCTTAGTTTCTTATTAAAGTATACTTTCACGCTAGCACCCTCTCACCACCTTCTGGGTGACATGACAAGGTCTCACAAAGCCTATGCTGGCCTCAAACTCCTTACATATCATTCTTAGGATGTACTTGAACTCATGCTTCAACCTCCCAAGTCCTAGAATTAGAGATTTGTGCTAATACATGTGGCTTAAACTGGTTCTTCGAGGTTAAAAAGTTATAATGAACAAGATAGTCAGTGAAAATTCTGTAAGTGTAATCTGAAACACCATGAGTGAGTTTCATTAGATGACAAAGCCTCCTGCTTATTAACAGTAACCACAATATTATTAAAAAGCAGTGGGTCATTATGAAATTAAATGTAAGTAAATACATTAGTGGTGAATATATATTTCTAAAAGGAAACTGTAGTATTTGTAGTACTAATAGGCTTAATTTAGCATACCCCAGCTGTTTGGGTACTTTTTTCCTTGGCTTCCTCTCTTTTTCTCCTTCTTCTTTCCGCTTCCGCTTCTTTACCTCAATATCATCATCTTTTATTTTGGGAACCTACAAAATGATAAGAGAATGTATCATTTATCAGCCTATCAATATTTTCCTTTGACGTTGGCAATGAAGCGTTTAAGATTTTTAAGGTGTCAGTGTTGGAAATACTTGCTAGAAGTGCACGTTCTTGGGCCTGAGTATTCTTACCTGTTTTTGTTGTTACTGTTGTGTATGTGTTTAGGTGTGTGAGTACAAAGGAGCAACAATAGGTGCCTTCTTCAATTGTTCACCTTATTTCAAACAGGCTTTTTCAATGAACATGGAGCTCATCAATTAGGCTAAACTGGCTTGTGGGCAAGCCCAGATTTCCTCCTGTTGGCACCGCTCCAGTGTTTGGATTACAGGTGTATGACACCAGGGCAGGCTTTTACATAGGTGCTCCAATTATAGGCATGTGCCACCACACTAGGCTTCTTAAATAGGTGCTGGGAATGCAAACTTAATTCCTCATGCAATGGTGCAAACTCTGTAACAATTGAGCCATCTCACCAGCCTCTCCACTGTGGCTTTGATTCAGATCACTGGGGCCTTAAGAGTTGACATTTTGAATAAGGATTTTAGTGGTTCTGGTCGAAATAAAGTCTTTGACCCCACAGCTATGGACAATATTCACTTTACAGCTATAGTAAAACAAAAAAAAGTTGTTACAAATTAGGTTTAAGAGAAGTTAATGTTTATGAATGGCTCTTGTATGTATAAAAAAAATCCTAATTTCTTGTTTGCTTGTTTTTTTTTGTTTTATTTTTGGAGACAGGATTTTACCCTGTAGCCTTGGCTGGCTATGGAGACCAGGCTAAGTAAGATTTACCTACCTCTACCTCCCAAATGGTAAAAATAAAGATTTTATTTGTTTGTTTGGTTTTTGTGTTTTTTTTTTTTTAATAATGTGGAGATCCTTGTGTATAGGAAGGAAGCACTCTACCATTAAACTATATCCCCTGTCCATATCAATAAAAATTTAAACATAATTAAGTAAAATTTCACTAAACAATAGTATTTTACTTTTCCTTATGTTCATAGTTGTGGCACAAATAATATTCAAAAAGTCTATCTTAAGAACAGGTATGGTGGCACATGCCTTTAATCCCAGCATTCAAGAGGCTGAAGCAGATAGATCTCTGTAAATGTAAAGCCAATCTGATCAGCATAGCAAGTTCCAGGCATCAGTGTTACAAGTATACCCTGTGGCCAGCAAGATGGCTCAGCAGGTAAAAGTGCTTGCCATGCAAGCCTGATGGCCCAATCCCCAGAGCTCATGTTGGAGGGAGAAATCCACTCTGAAAAGAATCCACTCTGAAAAGAATGGCATACACATACCCATAACTTACACATACTCATCATATATACACTCACAATAATTTTTAAAAAGTGAACAACCGCTGGAGAGATGGCTCAGAGGTTAAGAGTTCAATTCCCAGAAACCACATGGTGGCTCCTAACCATTTATAATGAGATCTGGTGCCCTCTTCTGGCATGTAGGCAGAACACTACATACATAATAAATAAATAAATCTTAATAAACAAAACAAAAGCTAAAAAAAAAAAAAAGTGAACAACCAAAAAACTAAAAATTATACTGGTCTTTGCGGGTATAGCTCAGCAGTAGAGTGCTTATTTAACATGCAAGAACTCCTGGGCTTGATTTTTAGCAAGCACAGCAAAACTATAAACAAAACAGAAGGCATAACATATTAATTATATGCTCTCCTTGATGCTGAGATGTCAAACTCACCTTGGGTGGCTTGTGCTTTTGGTTATCTGTAATATCATCATCTTCAGTATCTGAAGCTTGGCGAAACTGCAGAGTGCCAGTGTTGATATAGAAGCCTCCATATTTTGTTGTTAGAGAAGCAGGGACTAATTCATCATACTAGAGCAAAGAAAGTTTCAAATATACTCTCCTGTCTATAATTCTATAAACATGTCAAAGAACAGCACTTACTGACAATTTCCTTAAATACTAACTACAAATCCAGCAATCCTACTACTGGGCACACTCCCAAAGAGCATGAAATCAGTAAGTCAAAGAGATACTATGCTTCTGCGCTTCATTTGCAAAAGCCAAGACACTGAAGCAACCTAAGTGTTCATCAAAAAAATGAATGGAATAGTAAAATGTAGTACCTTTATATAATGAAACATTATTTGGTATTAAAAAAGAAAACCAGAGCTGGGCATGGCAGTACACAGCTTTAATCCCACAACCTGGAAGGCAGAGGTAGGTTGACCTCTGTGAGCTCAAGGCTAGCCAGATCTACATAGAAAATCAGGATCACAAAAGCTAGAGAGTGAAACCCTGTCTCAGAGGGGGCAAAAAAAAAAAAAAAAAAAAAAAAAAAAAAAAAAAAAAAAAAAAAAAGCCAGCAAATCCTACCATTTGCAATATGTACAAGACATTATGTTAAGTGAAATAAGCCAGCACAGAGAACTGAATGCCACATACCATTTTTTGTATGTGGACTCTATGCTGAATTCATAAAAGTACAATGTTAGCTATCAGAGGTTTGGGATGAGGAAGATACTGGTTAATAAACTTTATATTTGTATTTCAAAATATCTAGGAAAAGGTTTTTTAATGTCCTCACCAAAAAGAAACGATGTTTGAGTGATCATTCAGGCCAATTATCCTTATCATTTGATCACTGAAATGTGTACATTATCAAAGTATTATACTATACCTCATAAATATATATTGCTTTTTGTTAATTTAAAATAAATGAGGGAGGGAGATCAAAACTCCAAGAAAGCTACTTACAGAATAAGTTTAGAAAACGTTAAAATCTGGAATAAAAGGCAGTTGTGATCATTCAGTTTATTTAAGAAAGGAATTTCCAGAAGAATTCTGGAAGATGTTCTGTGGATAAAGAGTTAAAGGAATAATGGTACTATTCCTGCTACTGTTGTTCTAGTTTTTCTTATAACATAGCAAAATAAAATTCCAGTTTATTTGTTGGATAATGTTCTAAACACATATCCAACAAGCCAAAAATAAGGAAATAAACAGCAGCTTCAGAGAAAGAAAAAAAATAAATCCTTTTACCTTTGGCCTTTATAAGCATCTCATGCAAACCAAGGACTTCTAGTATACCTTGCTCTATCCTTCCTGATAACAGTTCTAAGGAGAAGCTGAAATATACTGAAGCAGAGAACTGAACATTCAGATAAGAAGCAAGTCCTTAAAAACCCTACCAATATGCAATTTTATTAATAAGGAGATAATACAGAATAAAATTCTGTCTTGCCTCTATGAGTAAGTAGAAATATATATTATATATATACATATATATTTATTAAGTATTTAAAAGAAAAGAAGCATACATCTCTAAGGAAAGCAGAAAACCAACTATACAGTCAACTATATACTTGAGAATATGGCATGAGCCAGGCACTATGCTGGAGAATCTAACTTATAACATGTCCTCAAAACCCCACAGTTTAATGTTTATCATTATTTCACCCAGTGGAGAGGGTCAAAAAGCAAATATTAAATTGAGGCCAATCTTAAGTGATCAAAGTGTCTGAGAAAGCACTCAGTACATAGTAGTACTAAGATGCCTGTAACCAGGAGACCTCTCTACTCTATTCCTGGGAGTCTGCAGATCACACTTGGTTTTTAAAGAAACATCCTTGGGGGTGAAGAGATGGCTTAGCAGTTTATAGCACTGGCTGCTCCTTCAGAGAACCTAGGGTTCAATTCCTATCACTCATGTGGTGGCTCACAACCATCCCTAACATCCCTAACTCAAGTTTCAGGGGATCCAATGCCCTCTTCTGAGGCACACGTGATACACAAGCACACATTCAGACAAAACATCCATATATATTATATATATATATATATATATATATATATATGTATGTATATTAAACAAATCTTAAAAAGAAAAACGGATTGTCACAGGGAAGGAAAAAAAATCCATATTCTACTGGCTACTATAAGAATATAAGGCATGGTGGCACACATCTTTAATTCCAGCAATTGGGAGGCAGAGGCAGGTGGAACTCTGTGAGTTCAAGGTCAGCCTGGTCTACATAGAGAATACCAGGACACCCAGGGTTACATAGGGAGACCCTGTCTCTGAAAAGAAAAAGAAAATTATTAAGGCTAAGCATAAAAGATGTGACTTTAAGTTGTTTCTTTCAAAAGTTATAGAAAAATAATTTTACAAGTTTATGCTTAATGTAAAAAAAATGAAATACAAAAAGAGAAATGAACTCCTTTTTTTAATTTACTAGATATATATAGGTGCTCTTCACACCTCTCAAAAAAGGTCAGTATTACTGGCAAGTGAAAGAAAAGATTAAAAATGATCACATGATGAGATGAACATTCCTGTATCTTTGGTTCCAGATACTAGTTCTTAATACTTCTTTACATGGATATTTCTCTTTGGTCTTCATGACACCCTCGGGAGGCAGGGAAGGCAAACATTTTTCCTGTTTTGCCGGTAGGAACAGGTAAGAATCAATCCAAAACCATTTCATGCTTGTAATAAAGTCACCGGCCAATCCCCTCCCTAAAGCAGACCACTTCTTCATGGGGGAAACACTCACCCCAGAGATTCAGGGTAACCTTAAATGCTCCAAGCCTGCTGCTGAGCTCTCTCTCCCCTGACACTGCTCAGAATAAACTGAGCCATTTAAGGGGAACAAAGTTAAGGCAATGAAACAACTTAAGATATCCTAGCTCTAGATCTTATCTTAGCCAGAGACTAACAAGAACTCAGGAAAACCTCTGAACATTAACTTTTGGCAGTTACACATATTCAGTCCTTTTACAATATGGAAAAACAAAGGTGAGACTGATTTCAGGCCTTTTAGTAATATAAGGTATCAGAGGACTAAACGTTCACTGGGAACAGATGATTTTTTTAGTCTCTATAAAATAATTTATTAACATGAAAAGCTTATTGACAAATCAAAACAAACAAGGAGTCATTTTATTGGATTATAATTGTTTTATGGTTGAATTAGATAAAAACAGTTGATTTTTAAAAGACCAATAACAAAAGGTTACTAAATGTAGAAATCAAAAACTTATACCTATAAAATTCATCCTTATTAAAGTAGCAGCTTTCAAATTTTCTTCAAGAGCAAAAAATACTACATATTAAAACCCAGAATATATACATCATCTATGACAGACGCTTTCTTATTTGATTTTGTTTTCTTAGAAATACTAGTCAGAGCTGGAGAGATGCATCACCAGTTAAGATAATTTGCAGAGACCGCAAATCAGATTCCCAGCACCCACCTGGTGGCTCACCACTATAATTGCAGTCCCAAGGGATCCTATGTCTTCTGACCTCCGCCCCCAAACACCAGGCATGCATGTTGTGCACACAGATACACATGGGCAAAACACTCATACATACATACAATAATAAAAGAAGAAACTACTAGTCACATGGTCTAAAATGGTATGTATTTCATGTATTAGCTACAAAATTAAACTTGAAAAACACTTTATTTAAATACTCTAAATACTACTAATGATATCAAAAACCCCATCGATTAACCCACTGTACGGTTTCCATTATAAGGCACTATTAAAACTGAACCGAGAGGTAGTGGCACCTTTAATCACAGATATTAGGAGGCAGAGGAGGGGAATGTCTGAATTCAAGGACAGCCTGGACTACAGAGCAAGTCTGAGGACAGCCAAGGCTGTCTTCAGAGAAACCCTGTCTTGCCCTACTCTCTTCTAAAAAAAAAAAAAAAAAAAAAAAACCTTGCCAAAATTATGATGAGAGGCTGCCAGATATCAGGAGACCAGGAGGCATGGGCAGAGCACAGAGAATTTTTAAAGGGAAACAAATCTGTACAGTGATAATGGCAGACATATGTCAATCAACACTTGTATAAACCCACAGAATCTATCACACCAGCAGGTACAAACTTAGGTGGTAATGGTGTACTGATGTAGGTTCATCGCCTGGAACAAGTGCACCACCATGGTACAATGTGTTGATAGGAAAGGATGGCACGTGAGTGCATGCATGCATGTGTGTGCAGTCGGGGTGGATATGTACTTTCTATTATGTTTGGCTGTGAATCCAAAACTGTTCTAGCTGGACACGGTGATACAGGGAGATCTCTCTTGAGTTTGAGGCCAGCTTGCTCTACATAATATATTCCAAGACAGCCAGAACTATACAGTAAGACCCTGTCTCAAAAAACTAAAAACAACAGCCAGAGGAATGGGGAGTAGGGGTGGCACACACTTTTAATCCCAGCACTCCGGAGGCAGAGGCAGGCAGATCTCTGAGTTCAAGGCCAGCCTGTTCTACAGAGTGAGTTCCAGAACAGCCAAGGCTACACAAACCCTGCCTCCAACAAACAAACAAACAAACAAACAAACACCTGCTCTAAAATAGTTTATTAACTTAAAATAACTCATTATGTAAAAGTATAAGAACATGCAATGGCCATGACTGCATTTTTCTTTTGGGTAAGCCAGAATTTTAAATCTATATATCAACATTATTACTAATGTTTGATACATGTTAATGTTCCTCAACCATATTTAAATTCATTTTATTTGAATCGCAAACTAACTCTGGGAGGTAGTATTGTACAGAAAACTGGGTAACACTGACATGCTTTCTTGATCAAATGTCAAATTAGGAACTGATATAAAACTAAAACCTAGCAGCCAGGTGCTGTGGCGCTCGCCTGTAATCCCAGCACTCAGGGAGGCAGAGGCAGGCAGATATCTGTGAGTTCAAGGCCATCCTGGTCCATAAAGTGAGGACGTGAAAGCTCAGCAAATTACTACCTTGTTGGTAAACCAGGACTTGCTGGCCAAGCTCAGCCTAACAGTTTGTTACCCAGCCTGCCAGGGATGAATTTTGCATTTTTTAAGCGGTGGAGAAAACATCAAATTAAATATTCTGTGATGCATGAAAATTACATGAGTTTAAATTTCACAGCATATCAGTCAAGTTTCACTCTTAACATTGCTACACTAATTCCTTACATATTCTCTGTGACTGCTCTTGTGCTACAGTAGAAGTGCTGCAGAGACACCATATGGTCCAGTCTAAAATATTTACCACATGGCCCTTGATGGTTTGCCAAACCCTGGCCTACGAGAGCAATATAGTAACAACTTAACACCAACAAGCCAACATTACAAAAATGTAAATCTCCAGTATTAAAAACAAAAACAAAAACCAAAACAAACCTTCAAGCCACACAATCAGCTTTAAAAAGCATAAATAAGCATTTATTGAAAAAATTTAGTGACTGTGCCTTGATTTCTAGTGTCAAAAGCTTACTGCCATATTAAAGATATATTACTCACAGCCTCTGAGTTATCAATAAATGGATCTGTCTCATCATAGCCAAAGCCTATATCAATTAAATCTTGCAGCCGATCCTTCCGGTGCTTACGGGCTTTCCCACCCTGCAAAGAAGAGAGATGTTAGACTCATTTAGTACCTGTACTGTTCCCATATAGATTGAAAAAAAAAAAAAAAAAAAAAAAAAAACACCTGTAAGAAGAATACACATAATCTTTGAAGAGAAACCCTCCGTAGGCAACTAGATCTCCCTATATTTTGTATATAAACTTAGTGACTGCTTCTTCAGAGCAGAACAAGTCGGACAAAGCAGCTATAAGATAGAAAATCTGTCAACACTTCCTCAACCACACAGTCAACATTAACAATAACAACAACAATTAATAAGTCAAATTGCTGGCATCTATCTTTGCAATAATAAAAAATAATTTTCAACTCTGTGATCTTCCTTTCAAAAACCTGTAACCTTTGCTCAGCCATGTCTATAAAATAAGTGATCCATGTACTGCAAAGCCATGATTACAAAAGCCAAGAAAAACACAAAAAAAGTCAATCTTTTTGGGCATGGTGGCACATGCTTTTAATCCAAGCACTTGAGAAGCAGAGGCAGGTGGATCTCTGTGAGTTCAAGGTCAGCCTACAAGGTCAGTTTAGTGAGTTCTAAAACAGCCAGAGCTACTCTGTCTCCAAAAAGAAGAAAAGAAAAATAATAACTCTAGATAAGCCTTAAGAGAGAACTCACCCCCAAAGTTATCCTCTGACCTCCACAAGTGCTATGGGCACAGGACTGTCTCATATACACATACTCACTAAATAAAAACATTCTTTAAAAAATAATTATTGTATCATATATATATATATATATATATATATATATATATATATATATGAGCATTGCCTTCATATATGTATGTGCACAGGTGTGTGCCTGGTTTTCTCACAAGTCAGAAGAGAACATTGGATTCCCTGAAACTGGAGTTAATTATGGGTGCTGAGAACCAAACCTGCATCTTGTGTATGACCAGCAAATGATTTTAATTAACCAATGAGCCATTTCTCTAAAGCCCTTCTTTTATTTATGTTTTTAAAATAATTTATTTATTTTGTGTGCATTAGTGTGAAGGTGTCAGATCCCTTGGAATCAGCATTACAGACTGTTGTGAGCTGCCATGTGGGTGCTGGGAATTGAACCTGGGCCCTTTGGAAGAGCATATACAGGACTCTTAACCACTGAGCCATCTTCTCCAGCCCCCTTCTTTTATTTTTCAGACATAGTTTTTATTTTCAGTTGTGTGTATGTACATATACATGGACATATGTATGTATACACACACACACACACACACACACACACACACACACACACACACACACAGGGTAGGTGCCCTCAGCAGCCAGAAGAGGGCATCAGATCCCCTGGTGCTGGTGTTACAAAGTAGTCAGCTACCTGATATGGGTGCTGAGAACCACACTTAGGACCTCTGAAAGAGCATTAAATCCTCTTAGCCACCAAACCATCTCTCCAGGCCCCAAAACATACTCTTAAAAGTTATACTTAGAAGGTTATATAATTGTACACACAGACACGAAAAAATATGAAAACAAGCACACACAGGAACTGGTGAAGTCAGATCACAGTCTGTTGTTTACCCTGTTCTCAAGTGTACGGTGCTAAAGTCCAGTCTCCAGTTTTTAAAGAGTACAGTCATGTGAGGTATAACCCTCTGAGTATCTAGCTGGGTGATGAGCACAAGAGTCTCTTCTACTGTATTTGAAACTTGTGAACCTATAATTATACATAAATGAAATGTGTCTAAGGCAAAACAATGGCAAAAACAAACCAGGTCTTGGACACTGCATTATTCAAGTTATACCTGGCTGATCACAGTGTAAAGAGCTCATTATATCTCAGATACAAAACATTACTTATAACTCTAGAAGTTTACATAAGCTTGCAATAAGTAGTTTAAACAGGAAGCAGCCTTCCTCTGGTGCCACAAAAACAGGTCTGTGAGTTCTGCTTTTAAGCCTCATTTTGGATATTTACATTTACAGATTCAAACCCAACTATGATTTTAAAGAATCCCTGCATCATCTCTTCATCCTGTGAAGAGGAAGGAGGAGGAAGAGGAAACTACCAAGGTTCTGGCCTTTCAACTTGTTACTTCCAAGGCACAGTGGGCTCTGCAGAAAGGATAAGGGAAGATGTGAATCTTTACTGTCACTTGGTTCCAGTTCTTACAGGGGCTGACTTTAATGCAAATTAAGTCTAGTGTTTAAAGATGGATACATTTAATACAATGTATCTTTAAATAAAAACTAAATGCAAAGAAAATGATACTTGGCGGGCAAAAGGTCAACACTGAAATTATAAACAATGTCTCTAAGGCAGTACCCTCCCTCAGAGTGACTTCCAAAGGCAATTCTAACAGAAGGCTGTTTGCCATATATACTAATATTGAAACACTTAACCCGTCACTTCCATGTCCCCTCCCAAACACACCCTCAGTGGGGAATAAGTAAATGGAAGCCAGGCAGTGGTGGCACTCACCTTTAATCCCAGCACTCAGGAGGCAGAGGCAAACAGATCTCTATGAGCCTGGAATACAGAGCCAGTTCCAGAACAGCCAGGGCTACACAGAGAAGGATAGTCTCAAACCAGCCGTACAAAACAAACAAACATCCTAGCACTCAGGGAGGCAGAAGCAGTCAGATCTCTGAGTTTGAGGCCAGCCTGATGTACAAAGCTAATTCAGAACAGCTAGGACTACACAGAGAAAGCCTGTCTCAAAAAAAAAAAACAAAAAACAAAAAACAAAAAACAAACAAAAAAAAACAATCATCTAAAACAAAACCTTTTAAAATTCTATTAAGAATTACATACTATATTTTAAACCGGTATTTAGGATTTTAAAGTATCTGCTGAGGGCTTGGGACTTCGCTCAATGGCCAAGTGCATGCTCAGCGTAAACGCAATCCTGGATTCTATTCCTAACAGAAACAAAATGTATGTCAAAACATGTCAAAAATTTAAGCTACGGAAAGCATGCCTGAAATTCTAGTCCTTGGGAAGCTGAGACAAGAGGACTAAAAATTCAATGCCACTGTTCTACATGGAAAGTTAAAAAAAAAAAGCAATATGCTAAAATATCAGAGGTGATTTATGTTCTTTTAAATCTTTTTATTTTTATTTTATGGATACTGAGTGTTTTGCCTACATTTATCAGGTATACCATGTGCATGCCTGGTGCCCACCAAATGCAGAAGGTGGCACTTAATCCTCTGGAATTGGAGTTCTGGACAACTCTAAGCTGTCATATTGGTGCTGGGAGGTGAGCCCAGGTCTTCTGCTCTTAGCCACTGAGGCACCTTTCTACCCCCCCCCGCCCCCCGAGAATTTAACTTCTTATTCCCAAAGAACTAAAAGCAAGATAATCTGCTTAAGAAATTTACCAAGCACCTACAGTGAGCACAGTAAGGTGGCCTTTGTGGACTGTACAGTATGGTCGCCAGGAGAAAGATTAATGACTACACTAATTACAAACAGTACAAAGGAAAATTACACGAAGGTTGTGCGGAGTCCTTTATAACAGATAACATAATCAAGTCTTTCCTAAGACACTTATTCTTAGACAAAACACATACAGTTAAACACTTGGGGGAGGCCTTGAGTTACACCAAGATAAAAGTTAAAAACAGTTAAAGAGACTCATTTTCTATCTAGAAAACTGTTAAGAGACATTACAGAGCCTGTGGGGTCACTTTTTAGCTAAAGCCTTCAAGTCAGTGTTGGAATTCAAATCAGTGTCCACACTGCCATGTCTCCAGATCAACTTCTCCCGCACAGTGCCCGTGGTTTCACACTTACAGGGCTAAGCTAGCAAGATAACCCAGAGATCAGAGGCACCTGCACACAGATCCAATCCCTAGATTATACTCATGGCAGGAGAAACAAGACTCCCAGGAGCACACACACTTCATTCATTACCTGATAAAATTAAAAGTAACAACAGCCGTCGTTAACAAGGATGTAGAGGAACTAACCATCTCCTATTTTGCTTGTGGAGACACAAAGGGATATAACAGCCTGTCGTGAAATCCTATACTTATAATCTCAGCACTTGGGAAAGCTGGGGTAGAAAGATCATGAGTGTGAGATTAGCCTTGGCTAAAGAGTAAGATACTGCCTTAGAAACAAATACACATACAAACAGGCCAGGCACATGCCTATAATCCCAGCATTCAGAAAGAGGAGGAGGATATCTGAGTTTGAGGCCAGTCTGGCCTCCATAAGGGAGCTCCAGGACAGGACTACATAGAAAGGCCCTGTTTCAAAAAACAGAAAAGGAGCAAACCCAACAGCCACCTTAAGAATGGTACAGTAGTCGCCTATGTAACACCAGTGCAGGGTGGAAAGAGGAAGACAGATCCCAGAGCTCCCTGGTCAGCCAATCTAGCTGATCCACTGAAAGATCCTGTCCCAAAAAATAAGGTTCTCTAGCCTGCACACACACCCGAGAGCACACTTGTGCACACAACAAACACAAATATGCATTCCACGTGAGAGAGAGAGAACACACAATAAAAATGGGTGGTCTTTTTTCTTTTATGTTTATTATTCTGTGTGGGTCCACAAGAGAGCACACATCCAGAAGCCAGAGGACAAACTGTAAAAGCTGGTCTTCTACCATGTAGGTCCCAGGGACCAAGCTCAGGTCTCCCAGCTTGGCAGCAAGTGCTTTTTTAACCTGCCATCCATTTCACTGCCCACACTTTTTTTTTTTTTAACGTACGTTATCTCACCAGGCAGTGGTGGCACACGCCTTTAATCCTGGCATTCCAGAGGCAGAGGCAAGTGGATTGCTGTGAGTTTGAGGCCAGCCTGGTCTAAAGATCAAGTTCCAGGACACAGAGAAACTCTGCCTCAAAAAAAAAAAAAAAAAAAAGCAATTTATCACTACATTGCACCACACTATACTTGAACTTACTATGTAGCTCAAGGGTGACTTGAACAACTGGGACAACCCTCAGCCTCCCAAGTGCTGAGGTTACAGGCCTGAGCTACTATACCCACACTGAAAATTTATGTTAATATGAAATGTAT